CGAAGTGGATTGTTGTGAATTTCTTGTAAGAGATTCGTTTTTTGGTCATCAAAAACACTTTGGAAGCATCCGGGAAGTGAAATGTAATGTATACGTGTCTTTTGTGTTGATGCCAATGAAGGTACTTTTTGTTTGTTTATGAATGGGTCTAACGTTTATGCGTTTTACTCATATTCAAATAAGTGGTTTTTTAAACCTATGTACACACACATTAACAAATCAATAATTTTTTTTCAAAACAAAACATGTTTTATTTTAACTCCAACACCATTCAACTAATAAAAAAAATATTACGCATAACTCAAACAGTATAAACAACAAAAATACAATTAACTCTACACTGATTTGTGAGAACACCACTAATATAAATAAATCTTTAGAAAGCCACTTATTGAAAAACAAAAGGAGTATTTCAGCTGAGATGAAAAATTGAAACAGCTTTTCTTCTTAATGAAAGATCTTCAAAGACTTCTATATGCATTTACATCGGTTACAAATAAAAGCTATTTACATTCGTTACAACTTGAGCCAGTTCAGGTTTCAGATGATTAACGTGCGTTAATGTTTTTGATGGGAATCTTCCAAGTGAAAGAGTAACGACTGACGTCTCCAATTCCCGTCTTTAATGATGCATAAATCGTGCAGATTTTTTCTTTTATCTTTTATATACTTTCTTCTAACACTCAATACTTTGAATTTGAAGAAACGATAATGATCTCAAGTGTTCATTCGAACAGAATGATGGGGGCTTATATTACACTTCAACAGCTCATATCAACTTCACAAATGCCAAACAAAATGTGTGTTCCGTGGGTCTAGGAAAGAAGTTAGATGAGCATAGAGGACTAGAAGCAAAATGGTGTTTAAGGTGGTGTTTTTATAATTCTTCTTCTTCTTTTTTTTCTCAGGTACATAGGAGGCTTTTGGGAGGGAACAGACCTGAGGAGGTCATGCCTGGTTGGTATCTACAATCGCCCAAGAGTATTTGAACATGAGTTCTGCACTCATCCCATTTGTAAACCTTTATATCTTGCTTAGAGCGAGGCTTAGTCTTTTATATATTGTTTGAATTTATTCCTTTAAGAGTCCTATCGTTTATAAAATACTATATATGGTCAAATCGAATTATAACTCCATAGACCATTTCTAAATTCCATTGTGAATGAAATTTAGTTTTAGGTCAATTCATTCGTTTTCATTTTGAATTGGGTTAGATTTGAAACTCGAAGGGTAAGCTTAAAATGTGCGAACACCAGGAATAAGTACACTTAAGGGGTGAATCTTTCTTAACTCCTCAAGCCCACCACACACACCTGATAGAAAGAAGCAATCCTTGCACATAATTAAGATCTCAGACAAGATTAATTATTTATTAAGATAACATGACCATTTCTTTTGTTTCGAACTCACATAAGTAAGAGATCCGAGGATGCGTGGGATGCAAGTCATGGCCACGCAAAGGATCGATTGAACTGTTACAAGATTAGATGGGTACACCTCACTGTTGGGAAGATTATCAGCATCTTAAGTCGTAACTTTTTTCCCTCAAGCTGCCACGTCAGCACCATACTAAAAAAACGCTAAAAGCACCACAACTACACAGGCTAAATTATGACTTTACTTCAAACAAAAGTTACTGTCCGCCAAGACCAGTTAAAAGGATCTCGTTCCTTTCGTTCTAAACTAAACATCATCCTTGCAGAGAATCTCGACGTTTTTGTCTTCTTCATTCTGTAACCCATATCATCACTATTCCCTTTCTAACACTAAACGTTAAAGGTTAAACTCTGATGAACTCACGTTTTCTTCTTTTCTCACCCTTCTCGACTTGGTCTGTTCATGATTCCAGTATTAGAGATTCAGCTCAACGGTGTTGTCGTCAGCGCAGGGGCCTCACCTACTACTCTCCTTCTTATCCTCTTCCATGGTGCTTCTGCTATTTCATCCGTTCCATGAAGAATTTTAACGTAAATACGTTTGTACCCGTCATAACGTAAAAGACTCTTCTCATTAGTCTTTGCTGGTTCTTTTCTCTACAACTGATAGTTACTTGTGTTCTTCTAGTTAGCGTCTCAAGATCATTGGATTGTTTCTAGGACTTTAGTCTTTCTTAAAGGTAACATCCCTTCTTATACGCTCTCGATGTATTAATGACATCAAGGGCTCAAGGCTATGAGTTCTACAGATGAATAATTGTGTGTATATGTTTTACACTCCTTGCAGTTGAAGCAAAAGACTCTCATCATGGTCGCGGAAATGATGGTGACTATATTGTAAATTTGTAAATCGAAAATAAAGACGATTGTTCATCCTTATAGTTACTTTTGAACCGTCTCCTTTGAACCCATTGTAAGCAGCGCAAGGCTACTATTTTCTACTGCATATGTTGTCCAACCTTCTCCACGGCTTCTTTGTATTTTTTTCTTCGGATATGTATTTATATCTCTTCTAGGACCAGGAAGAATAAGGCAAAAAGAGGCTGTATTGGAGACAAGATTTTGTCGCATGGAAAACACGAAAAAACAACCATGCTTAATATTTTTCAGTATGGATTCTGAGACAACGTATTTCCTAATATTGGAGTATATTTTGTTTAATGATCGCCCCATGATTTATGCTCCATTAGAGATTCAATGCAACCAAAAAAAAAAAGTCAATTTCTTGATTTTGACTTGTATCCCACGCAAAAAACGTGGGCTAAACGAGATGTGACTGCCTATATGTTAAAGCAATCAAGAACCAAGCCTGGTCTAACTTTATTAAGTAGGAGCTGCTAAATTGTTATGTAAATCTGATTTACTTTGGATTAAAACGGTACATATATTTTTTTCATTTGTGTTTAGTGGGGTCATTGTCATATAATAGAAACAAATTAACTCTCTTTCCACAAGGTAGGAATGTTTATGGTTCTATGCCCTTGGGTTCATTTAAAAAATGATACATTGGGGGATTGCATATATTATTTGACTCAAACTGATTCTTTTCAGTTTTCGTAAGCAACAAGTCTTAAACATAAACTGTACAAAAAACTGTAAAATACATGCATGCATTCAAAAACTATGCAAAGAGAAGGGCGTAACGCCATATAACCCATATACCAAAAGCCGAAGGTGATGATTGATAAATGTTCGAGAAGTAAACATTAAAACCAAAAAGAAAGAAAAAACGGACAAGGCATAAGAGGAAGAAAAGACAGGAGCAAAATAGTATGAACATAAAAACATTTTCAATTCTTCAACTAATGTAAGAGTAAGACATCCAACAAGGATAGATTAAGGATATGAACATAGGACCAAAAAATTTAGTCCATGTCGCTGTAATACGAAGTGGAGATGTGGCATACTCTAACTTTGTTCAGTCAGTATAAAGAGAAAAAACTGGTACAAACAAGTCAGACTATATTGAACCATGATCCAAAGGCACCTTCGGGTTTAAACATATTAAAAACGTCTGGGTTTTTAAACATTTTGATTAGGATTTTTGGGTCGGGCTCAAATTTAGGATTTAGATTTTCTTCACAAAATCGCAACATCACACCGCACGTTTGCGCGGGTTCTCTACTAGTTTATTTATATTTATATAGCATTTCTGTATTAAACTAACTATAAACTACATATTGCTCTTTAATATAGTCAACTACATTCCTCACCTGTATATTCAATATTCAATATTCAATATATCTACATGAACATTTATATTTGAGGAATAAATTCACTTTTAATTAAGTGGATGTAATTACATAATGTATTTAGTATATTGAACATCTACATCTATGTATTTCTAGCCTCCAAAATAACACTAGGGTTTTCTATAGTTTATATTTAGCTAATTCCTAAAGGGAACACTAAAAGACAAATCTATATTATTATTACAAATATATACAGTAAAACCTTTATAAAGTAATAACGTTGGGACCATAATATTTTATTACTTTAACGAGATTATTAATTTATCGAGGGGTAATTACACCAAAAACTGAATTCGGGACTTGAAAATTCTATTCATTTGTCGAGTATTACTTTATAGAGGTTCTACTGTAATTTGTATTTCTTCTTACATCCAAGAAGGATGGATGCTTGAAGAAGAAATTACAGAGTTTACCAATTACTTATTTTTACAAAGAAGAAGTGAAAGTAAGGACTAGGAGACCAAAATTAGTCTAGTGAAAATATTATTAAAGGGATTATCATGGTAACTAGTGAAAATATTTCAGACTTTTTGGAAGGTTATATAGTTGAAATTCTGAAATTACTATAATTTCTGAAATAACTATGTAGATGTTCATTGTACTCAACTAAATTATGTAACTATATCTACTTATTTATTTATATAGCATTTGTCACATTCTGGTTGGTTTGTGGAGAGGGTTAACAGAATTGATTTGGTTACCTATGTCAACAAAGATGATCTTATAGCATTTGTGTATTAAACCAACTACAAACTACAAATTGGTCTCTCATATAGTGAACTACGTTCCTCACCTATATATTCAATATTCTATATATCTTATATCTACATGGATATAGTTACATAATGTATTTGAGTATATTGAACATCCACATCAATGTATTTCTAGCCTCCAAAATTACACTAGGGTTTTTTATAGTTTGTATTTAGCTAATTTCTAAAGGGAACACAAAAAGAGAAATCTATATTATTATTCCAAATATATATAGTTTGTATTTCTTCTTACATCCGAGAAAGATGGATGCTTGAAGAATAAGTTACGTAGTTTACCAATTACTTATTTTTACAAAGAAGAAGTGAAAGTCAAGGACTAGGAGACCAAATTTAGTCCATGTCGCTGTAATACTAATACGAAGTGGAGATGTGGCATACTCTAACTTTGTTCAGTCAGTATAAAGAGAAAAAACTGGTACAACAAGTCAGACTAGATTGAACCATGATCCAAAGGCACATCCCCGTCCTGTTCGGTTTCTAAATCCATTGAAAAACACCCAACATAAAAGGTTATTTTCATAATTTAAAACACAAATGGGTTATTTTTCCATATTTTCTCTTGAAAAAGACCAGAAACAAAAGAAAAGAAGAGACCAAAAGATAACAAGCAATGGCGGCACTATATCTGGCTCTGCCCATCCTCCGATCCCGATCCCGCTAGGCTTGCCCACTGGCGTATTGCCAGTAATCATATTTTCGGATTTGTTATGGCCTTGGGTTTTCGGTGGACAAGCTTCTCGTGGGTTGGGCAAGGGCTGTTTTTTTATTATTTTACGATTATTAGCATCGAGCCTGGAGAAGACCTTTACACCAAGTAAGTCTTCAAAAGCTATCATCTGTAAAACAAACATTATTGTTCTTTAGACTCAGCAGTATAAGTAAACAGAGAAGCACGAGAGAAAAAAAAGAATTGAGTATATCTCTGGAACAACCTCAGGAGTACTCCTACTAAGATGATCATCACTATAAGGATCGTTGGGATATATGCGGTAAGGCACAAAGATCTTGGCGAACCGTTTCACTTCATCGTGGGCTTCCAAAACCTACAGCGCCGAAAAGAAACAACATGTATAAAGAAAAGAGAGAAGATTATATAATAAGATAATTTGATAATCTATTATATAATCAACTTCACCTGAGGAGGCAGTTGAACTTCTTTCGAAAGATGCTCCAAGACTTGGTAGAGAGCAAGAGCGCTAGGGCATGCAGATATGAGAAGATCACATCTAAAGTCGAATAGAATAATCTTGTGTTACTATTAAGTACATCAAGAAAGATAGATATGCATAAAAGCAGAGAAAAATCGAAAATCTTGAACAAACAATTTTTTGTATGAAGCACAAACCTGGCAGATCTGACCATACAAGTTGTGGAAGCTTGGACACCTTCAGTAGGTCTAGGCCAGAGAGGCATTGGCGCTGGGCCTATTCCTAATTTCGAAACACAAGAAAACAAAAACGAGAATGCGATTACTGAAAAAAAGGAAGAGATAACTCTATCTTGCATGTTAACAAGAGAATAATGAATAATGAATAATGGATTCGGATGCATGTTGTTAGTCTTATATGTATGTAAAAATCATGCCAAGATGGATCTGCCAATAATTAGCTAGGGACATTTACCTGTAAAATATCTGTGGGCTTCAAGAAAATTGAGCAAATCTTTGATGTTTTTTCTGGTAATATTCAAGATAGAAACTCTGCATGTAACGTACATCGCTTGGCCCCAAGTTTGCATCCCCATACGTATCAGTATCACCATTCTAGACACAAACCATAGGAACATATTGATACTGTGAATGATGCAAGAATTAAACAAGAGCCGGATGATAATGTATAAGGAGAGAAGATACGCATACGTGATTAATCCAACCCAAAAGGTCAAGCTTATATGTGCGAATACCAGGAATAAGTACACTTAAGGGGTCAATCTTTCTCAACTCCTCAAGCGCACCACACACACCTGATAGAAAGAAGCAATCCTTGCAAATTAGTAATTAATTAACATCTCAAACAAGATTAATTACCTACTAAGATAACATGACCATATCTTTTGTTTCCAACTCACATAAGTAAGAGATCCGAGGATGCGTGGGATGCAAGTCATCGGCCACTCGAAGGATCGATTGAACTGTTTCAAGATTAGATGGATACACCTCACTGTCGGGAAGATTATTAGCCTTTGCTGCTGGCATCTTAATTATCTTCACCAGTCACAGATGCTTTGGTCCTATTCTAGCCCAAGAAAACTAGGGATAGTTTAGAGGACATCTTATTTGGACTGCTTCATTAATATATATATTGAGAGAAAAGCCAGAAACAAATCTCACGAAGAAGAAAAAAGGAAAATTGACTATAGCAAGAGAGAGAGATTGGAACAGAGATTTACCAATTGAGTTGAAATCGAGCAAACCCTATTCTGGAAATCCAGTGAGAATGCTTTTGATCTGGCCTTGGAATCAGAGAGAGAAACCCTAAAAGTAGAAGAGAAAATGAATGAATGTAAAATTGTACATTTATATTAATCTCTCTAATTAAAAACCGGCTTAACTATACGCTTCGCGTTCTATTTTGTGTCAATCTCTCTCTATAGCCGTCTCTCAGATTCCATCGTCAAGCAAAAATTAATTTGATTGGGAATGGGTTGTTGTAGAGATTTCATAAGCAATTTGCCAGATGAGATTCTTGGGAAAATCCTGTCTTTAGTTCCGACAAAAGAGGCAGCTTCGACATCGGTTCTGTCCAATAGATGGAGGGGGAATCTGGTGGGTCTTGTGGACACCCTTGCCATCGATGAGTCAGTGGTTGTTTACAGCAACGAAGAAGAAGCAAGACTTGGTTCACAAGGCTTCTTAGATTTCGTGGAAAACACGTTTTCTCTGGTAAGCAAGATAAAGAAACTGTCTCTGTCTCATGTACCTAGAGATGGCCATAACGATGATTACACTCGTCGTGTCTACGATTGGATTTGGTCCGCAATGGGACAAGGCAGTTTATTGGAGCTACACCTGCTCCCAGGTCCAATGTCTTATACTGTTTATCTACAGTTGGACTTGTTCACAAGCAACACATTGGTTAAGCTCTCACTATCCGGTGTCTATAGTTTTGTATTCCGCCGTGTGTTTTTACCAGTGCTCAAATCGCTCTCTCTATTATCAGTTACTGACCTTATTAAGAGCAGCCATCGTACGCTCCTTGATGGCTGCCCTGTCCTTGAAGAATTAGTCATGACAGAGGCTTTTGATATTAACTGGCCATCTTATGGCGCCTTGGTGGACAACGAATCCCTCAAGCGACTTGTGCTGTTTCTCGATTTTCCGGAATGTCAAGAGGATCACGACTTCATGGTTATCGTTGCACCAAGTCTTGTCTACCTCGACTATTCTAGTTATGTCTTCCAAGAGTATAGTGTTGATTTGGATTTTCTTGTTGAAGCCAAGCTGGATCTCAGGTTATGGGAGTCGACTTATGATTATTCTGATGCCAATGCCAATGCTGATGATAATGATAATGATAATGATGATGATGATGACGACGATGATGACGATGAGGCTGATGAGGCTGATGAGGCTGATGATGGTGTTATATTTGGCGATGTTACAGAACTAATTGCTGCTATAAGCAACGTGACGACCCTTCACCTGTCTGCTAATTCCCTTGAGGTTAGTTTTTTTTTTTCATTGTTTTTTGGTTCATATAAATATATGGACTTTGGTTCTGATGATCATATATATAACTCAGGCGTTGCATTTCTGTTGTAAATCCATGCCTGAGTTCAACAACCTCCATAGTTTATTTATCGAGAGTGACAAGGATAAAGGTTGGCAAGTGATGCCACTTCTCCTCAAGAGCTGTTCAAATCTACACACTTTAGCCATCAAGGTACTGTATTATTATTAAAAAAAAAAAAAAAAAAAAAAAAAAAAACTTTTGGTTGTTGTTGTTGTTGACGATTATATATACATGTCAAATTGGTTTTCAGGGACTTGTGCACAGAGTAACAAATAGATGTGGAGATGCATGCGCCTGCATCCCTAAGAAACCGATGATAACTGTGAAGGAGAAGGAGGAATTATGTTGTTTATGGACATGTCAAGTGATGGTGCTAGAGATTTCAGAGTATGGAGGTTCTTTTCAAGAGCTTGAACAGATGAGACATTTCTTGGGCAAGTTGGAACGTCTTGAAACTATGAAAGTTAGTTTTGACTCGCACAACAAGGACACGACTGAGTTGTTGCGAGCTAATCTGCTGGCCCTCCCCCGAGTTTCATCAAAGTGCAATATACATTTCATCTGACAGATATATATATATATATATATATATATATATATATATATATATAGTTCTTTCCTCATCAAAGTGCTTTTCGTTTTGATATGGCAATGTGAAAGTAACTTAACATGTCTATAAGATTATATAGCTAATTTTGGATATACTCAGAATAAGCTCATTGTTGTTGACACTTTCTTGTGTTCTTTTTTTATTAAATAATAAAAGTTTCCCCTTTTCAAAATATTTAAAAATCAATTAAAACTTATCCCAGTAGCCTCCCTCTTAGTCATGTATGATGCAATTTGATTATCATATAGAAAGAGAGTTTACATGAACAAATTCCTAGTTTATAATTTGTTTAAATAAAGTTAATTCTTCAAAACATCTAATCGTAATGCAAATGTTATTCATACAAATATTCATGTCTTGGACGTTACATAATAATTCACGGCAAACACTAGTTACGTTAAAAACGCTGGAAAATTTCTAACCAATATCACCAGTCCACATGTAGATCAATATTACTATAATTTCATAATCCATAAGAATATATTTGTGTTTGCTAGCTAATGAACATCCTATATATAGATGGTGTTGTTTGCATAGATGGTGTTGTTTCTGCGGTTCTATCTTTATTTCAAAACGTTACAGGCAAGCGACCTCGGTATAAGGTAAGTTTGAACATTGGCTACACAAACAGTTGGAACAACCAAAATTTGATCATACTGAAATGAAGAAGATGAACAATGAATTGGTTGTTGGTTCTGTGTATAGGTTGATGGAGGATCAAACGTTGAGAATCTTGGGTTGCAGAACATTCAAGCCAGGATGAGAATGGTGTTAGCATTTATGTTAGCATCTCTCTTGCCTTGGGTTCATAGCAAACCCGGTTTCTACCTTGTTCTTGGCAGTACTTCCAACGTTCATGAAGGACTGCGTGGTTACCTAACAAAGGTGATGGGACTTATCTCTTTTTAGGTTGTTAACATAATTTATTTTATTGGTTGAAACAATATGGTTATAGCTCAGCAGACATAAATCCCATAGGAAGTATCAGCAGATTTGATATGAGGCAGTTTTTATACAACAGCAAGTGGCCATATCAGTTTAAGAAGATTGATGAGATTGTTGACGGCTTAAATGGTGACTCAGTTGCTTTTCCGGAAGAAGAAGCAAGTTCCAGCAAAGAAGTTGGAGTCGTAGCAGCAAATTCCAGTGACCCAAGTGCAGGTCGCTGATGAACCACTTTCCTAAGATCTCTCTGTTTCAACTCAAAGTAGAAGTTTGGAACAATATTGAAACAAATAACATCTTTGTATCACTGAGATAGATAAAGTTGGTGCTGAAGAGAACAACAAAAACAACTTCAAATAAGTTTACTTTTGATGTTTGTACAGTTTTATATATGCTCTAGTTTGAGCATCATTCTCAGTTAAATTAAATTTAGTCAAATAGATTCAAGCTCATTGTTAATGAATTTGTCTCGTTGCTTATCACATTATTTATTTCATAACTTTATTGTTGAACTCAAACTTTCATGTAATTTGGATCATGCAAAGATTGAATTGATTAGGTAAAGAATAATTCAGGTTTGATATCATATCTTATTTGAAAATATTTCTTTATCCTTTTTCAGAAAGGTTAAATATCAGACCGAATCGATTCTACGGTATTCCCTGAAGATTTTTGGTCATATATACAACGTTATCTTTTGGTAAGGAAGATTTCATTACCCTTTTCAAAAATCGTATTTAGAAAAGATCACTACACAATCCCAAATTATTTGAATAGTACTCTCCCTTTCCTTTAGTATTTATAGGCATATTCTTGCTCATTGGTCTTTACTTCATACCAACAAAATGGCATTGTCAAAGCTTCAATTTGTAATAATCCTCGTCATATGTTCTCTCCTGGTTACATCCCAATCAAGAGGTAATGCGTTTCTTACTAACCACATACAAAATCAAGAAGCATATTTCTCTCTTTCTTTTAAATTTGTTTTAATTAGTGTTTAAAGGGTTGACGTAATTGATAATTTGATATATAGATGTAAGAGAGATCAATGCTGTTCATCCAGGGGAGTGTCTCTACAAAGGACCGTGCACCAGCAACAATGATTGTGTGAGTCAGTGTGGACCTCAAATCGTTGGCTCATGCCAACCCAGTCCTAGAGGTCATGGCAAGAAGATTTGTTGTTGTTCTAATTAAATCTTATTTTCTCTCATAAACTACAAACAAAATGTACTTTTGTTTACTTCCCGTTAATCTCACGATTTAATCTCTCTATATATGAGAGATGTTTCCTCATTCTATGAATCCTACAAAAGTGATATGTAATCCAAGACTTATTTAAGATATTTGATATAAAAAAAAAAAATTAATTGGAAATTATCTCACTGTTAGACTTAACACCATCCTAGTTTGATCAATTATATGATTATATATAAAAATGTGCTCCAAAAGCTTCGTGTGATGATGTGTTCTTCGATTTAGGAAGTGTGGAATTTTCCTGTGGAAATTATTTGGCTGAATATCTCATCGAATTAAGAAGCTAAGGGTCTACGTGTATGATGTTTTTGTTCATCTATCCTAAGCAAATGAAAACTACCCCTAGGCCCTAACAATAGAGACAGTTAATTTTGTGATAAACTATAATAAAATGTTTAATTTGATTTATGTGAAATCTTGCTAAAATGTTGAAAGCAATTTTAGTCAAAGTATTGTGGAGGTTTTTGGCGTGTATTGGATTTTTGATGAAAGCAGTTTTGGTCGTTCGTGCACACTATGAACATATGACATTTGTGAATAGGTGTGGTGAGTGGTGACAAGTATCCCAAATAATCAAAAACTATACATGGTACGTATAGTCTATTTTAAGATTCTTAGCATATGTAGATAATCCAATACCAAAAAGTCGCCGAGTTATTATTATCTTAGGATTAGGAGCTTTTTGTTAGCTATTTCTGATAGATCGACAGGTGGAAGAGATATATCAGTCATTCACTAGCTCAATAATAAATCCGCAACGAAAAAAAAGTGTAATGTTAAATTGCATGTTATAGTTAATGGTTATATGGACTTTAGAGTATCTTGAAATCAGCATTAGCTTCCATTGGTAAACGTAAAATGTAACCGACATCCGAAAGTAAACCATTAGAACGCAATTAATATTTGAGCGAATGAGAGGATTAGTGGAATGTCTAATACGTTTACTCTCACGATATTTATGTTGGTGTGTAACGGGAGATTAAACGTTCATATCTTACTTAGAGCGAGGCTTAGTCTTTTATATATTGATGATTGAATTTATTTCTTAAGAGTCCCTTCGTTTAGAAAATATATATTAATCGGGAATTATTCAACTATGGTCAGATCGAATTATAACGCCATAGACCATTTCTAATTCCGTTGTGAATGAAATTTAGTTTTAGGTCAATTCATTCGTTTTCATTTTGAATTGGGTTAGATTTGAAACTTGAGAATAGTTTCATGCATATGTGAGTTAAACCCACATAATTTGATTTTGGTCTGGTCTGTTTCAGTAATATATGATGAGAAAAGTTGAACTTCATTAAAATATTAATGGTTTTTGACTTTATAGGAAAATAAAACATCAATATACGAAATAACTCTTAAAATATATTTTTCTTGTGTTTATAAAATGTTTTAAACTTTATTTACGCCAAATCTTATATGCAAATATGAAATATCACCCGTATAAATACTATTGTTGAAGACCTTATCTAATCATTCACAGTAAAAAAGGAGAGTTAAAATGCTTGAAATTTTCAAACTGAGATTAATATTTCGAATATGGAAAGCATGTTACTACGATTTCGATTATTAGGCACATCCATACGTTATCTGAATCTCGTAATCTATAACAAAGATTTATGTATCATCATACACTACTGGAAATAAAAGTTCAGATATGCTTTTGAGAAGCTACAAGCATAGTTGCATACATCATCATCATTTGTGTGAAACTACGCATATGCTTTCACCAAGTCTGATCAACTTTTTTTTTATAACAAATCTAAACTTGTGAATCATTTACAAGATGCAATGAATGTCGACTAATGTAAAAATTAATTTGGTTATTTTAGTTGGGACTCTCTTAAAGATAGACACATCATACATGCAACAAGTTGTGTGGCACCATATACTAGAAGATGGTCATCTTTGGTCGGTTCCAACATCATGATTTTCTACCCAGAAGTTATCCGATTTTGAAAATTCTTGGCTTTTTACACTCCTTAATTAGTCTAGTTTCTAATGAATATAACCATTCATAATATTACCACAAGCATTCTCCAGAAAATCAAAGATACCATAATACTATCAAAACAGACCATGGGTTTGACCAACCTTGACTCAAACTCCATTTTCTCATCCTACAAAACTCCGTTTTAAACGCTTAGATATTCAAAAGAAACATTAAATAATTATCTACCCAACGAAGAAAACAAAACTGAAATTCATCAAGTATTCATAAAGTTATGATCAAATCAATCGAGGCTAAAAGCACACCAAACATACCCAAAAGCACCTATCCACATCCATTAACCTCCTCATCCTTACATTCGCAATCCTAATCTCCACACCGTCGATAAAACCACATCCAACGGTTCAAATTCAAACCTGAGAAGCTACACCGATCCGAGTACTCATAGTATTAACCAATCAGAGACGAGTCTGAAAACGCTGTCTCATACACATCTGACTATATAAACATTTCCGTAGTTCTCGTCGTCCTCATCAAACAATCTCTCTGACGCATAAACATTTTCACAGTTTCCTTTTCCGATCAATCGCTTTTGTTTGTTTTCTCAATTCCCTAGAAAGCTCTCGAGAGATCAGTCTGAGAAAGATGTCGGCAGAGGAAGAAAACGTTCCGACGACGGTTGAATCGGGAGATGCTGATGCGGCGGTGACGACACCGGCGAGTGAGAAGAAACCGGCGGCGAAAGGTGCTAAAGCTAAGAAGACCAAGGAAGTTAAGCCGAAGAAGAAGCCTGTTGCTGCGTCGAAGGCTCCGAGGAAGAAAACTGCTTCGTCTCACCCTCCCTACGAAGAGGTTCGCGATTCGTTTTTCGATCTAAGCTTTTTTTTTTTAATTTCCAATTTCAGATTCATTTCCGTAGAGATTCGAATTCTGATTCTCTGTTTGTGCGTATCGATGCAGATGATTAAGGACGCAATCGTGACGTTGAAGGAGAGAACTGGATCTAGTCAATACGCGATTCAGAAGTTCATCGAGGAGAAGCAGAAATCGCTTCCTCCTACTTTCCGGAAGCTTCTGCTTGTGAATCTCAAGAGACTCGTCGCCTCTGGAAAATTGGTTAAGGTCAAAGCCTCTTTCAAGCTCCCGTCTGCTAGATCTGTCGCCGCCGCTGCTGCAGCACCGAAACCGGCGGCGCCTGCTCCGGCCAAGAAGAAACCAGCTGCCGTAGCCAAACCTAAGGCTAAAGTCGCCGCCGCACCTGCTAAAGCCAAAGCAGCAGCTAAAGGATCTAAGAAACCGGCTGCTGCTGCTGCTGCTACGCCTAAGGCAACAGCTAAGGCTAAAGTCGCTGTTAAACCCAAAACGAAGACCGTCGCTGCTGTATCCAAGACGAAAGCTGTTGCTGCAAAGCCTAAGGCCAAGGAGAGACCAGCTAAAGCTTCGAGGACTTCCACTAGAACATCTCCAGGGAAGAAGGTTGCTGCTCCTGCTAAGAAAGCAGCGGTTGCAACGAAGAAGGCTCCGGCGAAGAGCGTGAAGGCGAAGACGGTGAAGTCTCCGGCTAAAAGGGCTTCGACGAGGAAGGTGAAGAAGTGAAGGAGATGGGTTTAGGATAGAATTGAATACATGGTGGTGGTTAGCTTCTCTCTAGGGTAGTCTTGTATAATTGAATCATCCTTGAAGTCGCTTGCTTTCCAAAGTTTTTTTCTTGTTTTCTGGTTTCTTCTTGAAACCTTTTTTTCTTTGTAATTTTTGGTTTGTTTGAAATTAAGCAATCAATAGCTAAATCGGATGGTTTCCTCGTCCCAAACTCCTCCAAGATTATGTCTTTGCTTAGTATTCATATAGTTCATCTGCTTGAATTGGTTCTTGAATGATTCTCAAGTAATGTGTTCTTAGAGATTCGCTTAATGTGGTTGTGTTTCATTGCTTATGAGAAAATGCAGATAAGATTGTGGTATCTTTCAGCTGTGCTTTGGAGGAATTTGTCTCTTAAGAACAATTAGCTTGGCAAAGTTAAAGGTGAGATTCATACGTTTTCCTCTGAATCATATGTGATGTTTGTTTTGAGAGATTCACTTTTGTTTGATAGTTTTAGGAGTGTTACATAAATGATGAATGTTGACATTAACATACCAGGAAATAAAGCTAAGAAAACTTCTTCATCTTCTTCTTCTCTCTCTCTTTCTCTCACCTTGGTGTTTCTTGGAGATACTGTTTGAATCTTTCCACTTTCTGAATAGAGTATTTGAGCTCCTGTTGGATGTTGAATCTGGAAGGAGAAAGAACAATGTCTTTCCATATCGATCCAGCTTCACAGGCAGGGTTTGGTCTGCGGTACAGCTCGTAAATGGAGTCTGCATTCTCGTTTAACCTCCCTACATTCTTCAAACAGTCTATCTCCACTGGATCCACTAGCAAAGTCTTTTCCTTTTCTTTCCACCCTATCATCTGCACACAAAACCATGGATTCTCACTTTCATTGTTTCAGTTTTTTTCCTCCTTTTTCATATCTAAAAGAGGTAAGAGTAAGAAAGCAAAACCTTTGGAGAGCCTTCAAGAGCATTAGTGCTGTAAAGCCTTGCATTGTCAACTAAGTTGCAGTAAGTAAGAAACGCATCAGCAAACCTCTTGTGAGATCTCAGCTGAGATCGAACCCGAACCGCTCTTCTACACATTATTGCTCTCCTGCATTTTATATGTATATATACAATATGGTTAAACCAAAACCTCATGTTCAAGAAAAAACACACAACACTTAGAACACTCTCATGATCACCTAATGCCTCGAATCACTGCTAGATACGCATCACACACGACTCCAACTAACTCTATCCTGTATGGCTTTCTCTCCCTTCCATCTTCTTGCAGCTGTTGTCTCTCGCCTATGCGTTCCCAATAGTTCTCTATGACATCTCCGTTTTCACCAACCTTGTAGCCAGCTCCCATTCTGTAACGATGGCGATGCACATTCCTTGCCATGGTTATGGTCTGAACAACAAATGGTACCCAAGAGAGTGTTCCATCCATTATCACGTCTCTTCCTTCGTTGAGAGCTGTAACCAGTAGTGATGATGCTGCATCTGTTGATGATTGGTGAACCTGTTTTCATTTCCATTTCACCGTCAAAGAGTTTCACAACATCTTGTTTGCACCAATAAAGAAACAAAGAACCTTACGAATTCAGCAGTCTTGATCATATCAACATGGCCTCTGGAGCTTAGAGCTCTGTATATGACATCCGATTCTTTGAAAGCATCTGCTTCTATTACCACAGCATCTGCTCCTGCCCAAAATGGTCTGAACAAAAGCACCCAAGCATGTAAGAAACACCTACAGTGACCAATGTTCAGATAAAGATATGAGTCAACTTTACTTACTCTTTGAGAATGTCTTTAAGCACAGTGCTCTTGCCTGCACCCATACCACCACCCATGAGGAGTAAAACCGGGCTTCGGTCCTTGTGTGCAACTGGAGCCATCACTTCTGTACATTCTGAGTCATCAACAGATGCGATCCCCATTGCTTTCATTTCCTCTACCAGTGTGTTGAACACTCTTGCCACTTTCAGATTTTTAGTCACTCTCTCAAACCTCTGTTCCCTATATACCACCAACCAAGGAACAATCAGTAAAAGAGAAGACAATCCGAATTTTTTGCTGTTGTTTAGACTCACCTCGTAGCCGCCATGACAATATGCTTGAGTTTCTTCTTAGGCTCTACATCGGCGCTGAGTATCTGAAACAAAATCCATGAAATGTTTTCTTGTTTATTAGTTATATGATGCCAAATAAAGGATTATAAAAAAAATTGTTTTCCTCCAGAGAACCTGACTGATCATGAGATCGGCATGGCTCCAGTGGTAAGCAAAGTAACTGAGAATACATCTCTCAAACTCCTCAACGAGCTTAATGAAGAGAGAGTCAGCATCAGGCTCTTCAGAGAAGAAGCTGTATATGTCTTCCTCGCAGCAATCTGATTTCCTTATGTACTCATTGGCTAATTTGCAGAGATGTGGACATTCTCTTCTGTCCTTGAATCCCATCTGCCGCACTGCAACAAAAAAGAGAACGGAGAAATAAAGATAACAAAAAAACACAAACAACATTTCCTTAAAATGCATCAAAAAGTCTATATGATCATGGAGATTTCAAAGAGGATTGGATTTTACCAACGTAGTGAGAGAATCTCTCGAGCTTCTCATGGCCTTTGTGTTTGTGAGACAATCTGAGACGAGGGATGTTCTTGGAGTGACGTAGCTTCCTGAGACGGTAGTGCAGTGCAAGAGCCAAGAGCAAGCCAATGGATGAGATTACCAAAATCTGTGTGAAAGTCGTCGTGTTGTTGTTGCTGTTAAGCTCTGGAACACACATTGCTTTGGGGGGATCATCAAGAGACATGTGAGATTAAAGATTGATAATCAAACTCTTAGATTGGTTCCATGGTTGAGTCTGTTTTCTGTTACGAGACAATGCATCTGTCTTCACCACGTGTTACTCTACACTACTAAAAATAGCTTTGAGCCCTATTACTCCGGATGTTTCTTGGTTTGCTTTTTTGTGATTTGACCATTTTGTTCCTTCAGCAAGAATCTCAATCCCCATGTGTATGATATTTTTGAATGGTTTTATAAGATAAGAAGATAGAAGTTGACTTTAAAATGTTTAGTTGATTCTCACTGTCACTGAATATCTGTAAGTCTTGAAGTATTGGAAAAAATTAACTTAAACATAAAAAGGCTTTGCAAAGAATAATCTAAACCTAAGAAAAGAGAAAAAAACTAACTCAGAACAGAGAAGAAGCAATGAGTCTAAAGAGAGATATCATAGGGATTTCTATATAGGAGCTGTGCAAGTTGTTCTGAAATGGCCAGCCTCATTGCACCGGCTACATCGAACCACCCGCTTTTGACGTCCACGGTCCTCTCCTTGACTCCTCCTCTTCCTTGGCCGTGGCTCTTGCCTCAACAGCTTCGGTGGTTTTATCACAATCTCATCACCATCCTCACCATTTTCTACGTCAGGTTCTGTTTTCTCCCACAAGGTTTTGTCTGGCACTGGATGTATGGTTTCTTCATAAGTTCGACGGTAATTCGCCACAGTGAAGCAACTCTCTGCGTACCGCCGAACGATCAGGTTGCGGTAGAGGAGTGCTGCAACTGCGTGGCTACAAGGCAAACCGTACAACTCCCACCCACGGCAAGAACATGAACGACATCTAAGATCCACTATCCATTTCGCTTCACCGGCGATGACCACGAACTGTTGTGCTTCGTTTACTTTGTCAACTTGGAACGCTCGGGACTGTTCGATGGCCTCAAGGACTTGTCTCTCAGCAGATGGAACTAGTATGTCAGCCCACTGCATGCTTGCTTCACGGCGTTCGTTGAACATAGTCATCAGCTGGCGTCGGATAGACTCCATCATCTGGATAATCGGAAGACCTGAGGCTTCTTGAATCCAACCGTTAAGTGACTCGGTAACATTTGCAGTCAGATGTTCAAACCGTGTTCCTCCAAAGCAGTATACGGTCCATAAAGAGGGAGTGATGTTATTGACCCACATGGCAGCTTCCGGGGACATCTGGAAGATCTCGGTGACTTTCGCACGAAACTCATACTCGCTGGGACATTTCGCTGCTTCCCAGAAAAGGTTCACAAGATCAGAGTCGTTGAAATCCTTACGGAAGCTTTCTATGAGCTGATGGATACAGAGGCCATGAAACGCCGTTGGGAAATTAGCATTTACTCCATCAACAATGGCTGCGTCTCTATTCGACAAGATCGTCAGCTTCGGCATGTTCTCGGAGTTAACTTCAAGAAGCTGACGCAACTCTGTGAGGAACCACTGCCAGCTACCATCGTTTCCCTCAGCAACAACCGCAAAAGCCACAGGAAATACTGCTCCATCTCCATCAAACCCAGTGGCAAGCAGCAGTGTCCCTAGATACTTGCTCTTCAGAACAATCTTGTCCAACGTAATGAGAGGCTGACAAGCATTGAGAAACCCCCAGATCGATGCCTGAAAGGAGATAAATAACTGTTCAAAGGTCCCATCAGCCGGACTTCCATGAACCACAGCGATGCTCCCATGATTCGTTCTTCTAATTTCCTCACAATACCGAGGAAGCAGGCGATAGTCTTCTTCGAACGACCCACGAACAGCAGCCATTATACGTTCTTTCCCTCTCCATGCTTGCTTGTATGATAGTGTAATTCCATGAACTTGGTGAATCTCCTCCAGTATCTCCTTGGGTTTGCAATGAGGGTTTTCTCTCAGCCTTTCTTTCACAGCCTCAGCAACCCACTGAACCGAAGCTTGGTGGTGACCGAGGTGTGAGATACCACCACATGTGTGACTCCCGTTAATGGTCCTTATCGTAAAGTTCGGTACACCAGGAAGCTTAGCACAGTGAATCCTCCAAGGGCAACCGACGCTACTGCACTTTGCAGTGAAGCGAGATTTATCAGATTTAACCGTCTGCATCTCAAAGCGTAAGGCAATTGCTGCATCTCTCAGTGCTCTCCTACAAGAAAGGACATCTGAGAACTCCATACCAATGGCCAAGTTGTGATCATGAGCTGTAACGAGAGACCGGCACTGAACAATAGGAGGAGCCAACTCTAGCTGCTGGGAAAGGCTCATATTCATGCAATGACCCACCCCAAGCTGTAAGTTATCATTGAGATCCTCAGAAACAACCAAAGCTAGTTTATCATTCTCTGAAGTCTCCGAGTCATCGTTATCAGGAAAGGAGAGGTCAAAAGCATGGTCATAGCTTTCATTTTGGTTTTCCTGAGAATCAACCTCATCTTTTCCTTCCAGACATTGTTCCTCACTGTGACTCCTTGAGTCTTGAAGAGCCAGTGTGTGTTCTTGGTTGTGATTCCAAACCTCGTTTTGCTCACGGGGAACACCTATCTGCAGGTTGGTCTCGTCGTGTAGCGTTTCCAAAGCAAAACTGTAGTCATTAGTAGGAAAGAGTTCACTGTTCTGCCGAGCTTCCACAAACTGCTCCTCTCTAAACGAGATATCGTGGTTCCCTGCCATCATCAGCTCGTGATTCGCCATTTCATCAAAATCACAAAAAACTTGGCCAAGTAAAAATGCAGATACTATCTGTTTTCAGATTCTAACTTAACTCGTAATGTCTTTTATTGATCTGCAAACAAGAAAACAATGTATAAACAAAAAGATAAGACGGTGCCCCAAATGTTAAAACTTCAAACAAGAAGGTCATACAAGAGCAGTTTCACAAGGTATAACCATAAGCTTAAGAGGTCCACAAGATTAAGCAGAAAAGTAACAAAATTGGAAGCATCTATCAGAGGAAAACACTAATAAAAAAAGCTTCTAGATTTGATACAATCAATCCTATTCAATTAGTAAAGCGAATACTAGAGAGGGTAAAGACAAACCCAAAGCTTCCTAAGATCTCATTGTTCAATGTGTTCCACTCAATTGTTCTAAGCAGATGAAAAATCAAAATCAGAGGGCCATGTGAGACTAAGGATACGAGAAACCCCAACAATCAAAGAAACGACTTTAGTGTTTTAGCCTCAAGTCTTACTACTACCACCATCTCTGAAACTGAGATTTTTCGTTCTGGGTTGGTGACGAAAAGAAAAACACCCTCCAGCGACTAAAACCCCAATTCAAAATTTCACAATTTCCAACCAATTCATACGCAATCATACGCAAATTCCACCCAATTCGAGAGAAAACTAGCAAAGCAAAAGCAACAAGGGATACAAAAGGAGATCGGTGAATCGAAACTCACGGATCAGAGAAGGTACGGAGCGAAATCTGCAAATCACAGAAAGCGAATCGGAACGAAACGAGAGAGGAATTGGCAGTTTCAAAGAGGAGGGATTTGGCGGGTAAGAGAAGAAGGGGTTCAAGGGGAAAATCCGGAGAAAGGAGAAGGGCAAAGAAGGGATGATGAGTGCTTACCAGATTTTTTGATGGGACGAAAGAGCACCTCGTTTGATTCCTCAGACTCTCTGACTATTAGGTTTTTAGAAGGGTATTTCTGTCATTCCGTTTTTTTTATATATATATTTTTTGATTTTAGTCGGCATAAATTTCTTTACTCAATTCGTATCATAGTCAAATCTTTCTATGTATTTTTTTGGTCTCTTACAAATGGTTAACAATTTACAGACTTGGTGTCTTTATTGGGTCGTTTATATTCTGTTTAGTAATTAATTTTGTATATTTTCCATCCTCTAGCTAGACATAAGGTTTACAATTGTTGAGTTATACAATTGTTTTCATATGTATTAGCGCCTATATGTTAGGGTTCTAACAATTACAACTTGGAAGCTCTTTGTATTAAAGAATTAACTTACTATGTCATTCTTGCTGGCTTGCCTAACATTATTTACAAATCTGATCAAACATAGCAAAAGAAACATGATTGTGCTGATGATGGTCTCAATTAACGTGAGTTTCCAATATCGTTTCTTTTATTAGAAATTAATAAGTCCATGTTCATTTTTGGAAAAGAAAAAGGTCTTTTGGTAATAAGATGTTTTCTTTTTCTTCAGAAAATCAAAGAAAAAAGCTAAGATATCTTAAGGGAGCGTTACACATCAATTTAGCTTTCACAAATATTTCAGATTTCAAGGTTGTTGGTTATGCACATGCAGATTATGTTACGATCTGGATTGCATAACAAAATTACAGGGTATGTATACATTTTAATTGGAAAAATGTAACAAAACAATAAGAAAAACAAAAAAAAACTTAAAAAATTGAGAAAAAGTATACAAATAATAAGCAAAACATTTTTTTTTTGCCTCTAAGCATGTGATAATGGCGATTGGCCTTGGGAAATGATTCATCAACCCGATTCTCGTATTCGTGAACCACAATGTTTGAAACTACATATTTTCTGATTACATTCTCAGTATTTATCATTTTGGATAAGGCAAGTCCAAGTAAGACAATCTCCAAGTGCTCTTTTTGGGCATTATTTATTGATGGAATGACTGTTTTCCATGCTATGTGTTGCTTTCCAACTTAAGTATATGTTGACCAAAGCTAGGAAAAAAACATTGAATTTAAGTAGTCAAAGAAGAGGACTTGAAGTATGGAAAACATCTAAAGAATAAACCAAACAATTTTACTTGTATAAATCTCACCTGTAATGAAAATACTCAAAACGTTAAGGATCAATCGGAAAATGGTCTGCCATCCCCATTCATATTTGTTCCAAGCAACTATGACCATTGCATTAACAAGATATCCATACATAATAAGCATATAACCAATTAGCAAAATATAAAACTATTATAACTAAATAAATTCAACAAATGCTAATTGTATTTGCAAATACGTAATATAAGATGTCAACAATCAAAGCTTATAAGCAGATGTAAGAAGGAGTGCCTCCCACATTATGTCAAGGCTTCTAAACAAATGCAAGAAGGAGCACCTCCCAACAAAATTAACTTGTTGAACATGAACAATAACAGGGGCAGCTCCAAAACTTATTTTAGTTTTAAATGTGTAGTTATGGAGAGTCCACACTCACTAAAACATATAACCAAATATATGTTGTGGAGAGTCTAAACTCAAGTAAACATCCCTTAATTCGTTATGATCAAACATTGTGGTATAGTTGTAGAGAACCTACATTCAAGTAAAACATATAGCTCAAATATATAAACCTTATAAACACCACTCCATTAGTTATGATCACAAATACTGTTATCTTTATCAAATGTTTTTTTTTTTTTTTTTTTTTTGTGGTGTAGTTATGGAGAGCCCACACTCAACTAAAACATATAGACTGAATATATAAGCCTTACAACATTACTCCCTTTGTTATATATTCAAATATTTTTGTCTATTTTTGTCTTCAACAATTTTTTATTCTATTTGGTAGTTATATGGAGAGCCAACACTCAAGTAAAACTCTTGAAGTTTTCAAATTTTACTACCATATGAGATTTTCCTTTCCTACTCAACAAGAAATCTAATTGATAAATACCCTAGGATTCAACACATTCTTCTTCAATTCACTTCTTGAAGCTTTATAATAGCATCAAAGCTGAAACTTTCACCAGGTTCAAATGTTTCTTCAAGATCTTCATAGCTTTGCTCCACAATCAACATTTTTTTTCTTTCTCTGTAGTTATAGAGAGCCAACACTCAAGTAAAACATATAGCCCGAATATGTCTTACAACATCACTATTTTCGTTATGATCAAATATTTTTGTCTTCGTCAAATACTTTTTCTTTTAGTTTTTTTGAATTTTTAATTATTGTGGTCATGTTATGGAAAACCGACGTCAAGTAAAACATATAGTCTGAATATATAAATCTTAAAACATCACTACATTCTTTATGATCACCCTATAAATAGAGCTCTAGAGGTTAATATACTCATTTTCAGATTTGATCCTTCTATCTAATTATAATTTGGGTTTTGAATAAGTTTGTTGGCGAGAAATTTTGAGTTTTGAAGTTGTCTGTTTCACGTCAGTGTAGGAAAGAGTTTTGAAGCTTCATCACGCTATAATAAAGAAGATTTTTTAGTTATAATTTAAGTGTTAAAAAGACGAATTAATATTGCATATTGTTTAATGCAAAGTATTGTAAACACATTTCGATTTAGAAAAATCTTTGTCAAAAAAAAGATTTAGCATTCATGTCGAAAAATCACGTTTGTAGATCTATAACCTCTCATAAACTACAAGGATCTGCAATTTCGTTATAGTGTCAATCATGTCGCTAGTTGTCTTATTATTATGTTTTTTTAATTGTGTGTATAACTCTCCAATATTCGTTATAAAAAAAAAATTCTCCAATATTTTGGTATCATACATTTTCAAGTTATGTGGTAAATCGAAATTCCCATAAAACCGGGTCGACCTTAGGCAAACACAAAACAAATCGTTGAACAAGTTTTATGTTAGAGAAGAAGAAGAGAGTTTACACTAATTTAGGCAAACCACAAAACAAAATCGTTGAACAAGTTTATGTTTGTTTGATTTTCACCGCTGAACAAGGAAGAGTCCTCATTTTCCTCTCCTTCCTTTGACCAATCATTCTCCATTTCACAGGTAACTCTACTCTCACCTTCACAAGCTTTCACGTCTTTCTTGTTTTTTGGCTCTTTTTGAGAATGAGTTTCAATGTTTTTCAGGATTCACCATCACCAGTCTGAAAGATGATGGACTCGAATCTTTTATTTGATCAGACGGTCATAATCGGGTTCGCGCCGGTGCTAACATACGCAGCCTGCGAATGGTTCCTCATCTTCCTCATGTTCATCGATGCTCTTCTCTCCTACCTCCTCGTCTGGTTCGCTCGCTACTGCAGACTGCAGATGCCATGTTTCCTCTGTTCCAAGCTTCTTCATCCTCTGCACTGGAGATTCTTGATCTGCAGAAACCACAGATCAGAGGTCTCCTCGTTCATGTCATGTCAGAACCACGACAACAACCTCGCTGACTGCCGTGGCATGTGCGATGACTGTCTCTTGTCCTTCACCAAGATGACCGGTCCGAATCCAGACATGAACAGACTGCTTCTAGGGAAGCTAGGCTACGATCTTCTCTCTAAAAGCCATTTCGCTCACCCTAGATCCTGTTCTTGTTGCAACAAGCCGTGGAGGACAAGGCACCACACACAGAGACTGATTCGGTTAGGCTCTCGCGGTAAACCAAACATTCCTGCTCCGAGGAATCTTTCACGAAGAGGAAGCGCTGGGAGTTTGAAGAAGATGAGAGATCAACACCAAAAGGCAACGAGCGGTGCTGAGAATGTAGACGTTGGAAGCCGCAGCGACGGTATGGCTCATGTGGGTTACACGGAGCTGAAGATCTACTCTGATACTGAGTCGGAGTTCTTGTTTTCAGACGATGAAGCTTTTCTTCACATGACAGCAGACTTCAATGCTGAGCCGTCTGAGAAACGTGTTCACAAGTCTCGGTCTCGTCGGGGATCGTTTGATGGCGGCAAGAAGAAGATGTCGATTCATAAACGGAATGGTTCGAGAGACAGCCAGAACAAGAACGTTCATGTGGAAGATTATGGAAACTTCGTTGGATCTTCTTCCATGTCAGAGCGTAATCTTGTAGATGAGAGCAAGAAGAAGAAGAAGAAGCCTGTGAAGGTAGAGGAGCATGAGGAGGTTCTCTCAGAGCTTATAACTATGAGTGAAGCTCGTCCGTTCCCATATGGTTTACCTCGAGAGGACGATGTAGGAGTAGCAGAACAAAATCGTATGTCTATAACTATAAACTCTGATGTCGAAACCTATGCATGTCATCTTGTTCCTTAACTTGATGTGGTTTTGTTGCAGAAAATGAAGTTGAGGTTAGTGGAAACTCATCTCCTGCTGGCGGAGAGTTCTTGAGCTCTTCTGGAGAAAACGGTTCCTCTCGGGAAATCTTTCAAGCGAACGATGATGATTCTGCTGAAAACGTCTCTGATTCAGATGTGAAGATAGAGGCATCTGAGGAGGAAGGTATGGAGCAAAAAGTGTCTGACGACGTAGATGGCTTTGGTTCTGTTGCAGATGGATCTTCTAGTGATGAAGAGAATGAAGTTGAAGGAGACTCCAAGCCTTTGACGCCGAGTAATATGTCAGATTCTCTGGAACAGGAAGAGTCAAGTGAGGAAGAAAGCAAGGTTGTTGAAAACAATGCTGCAGAAGAATACTTCAGTAATGCAGAAGAAGATGATCAGGTCAATGGAAATTCCAAAAATGAGCCAGAAGAACAATCCAGTGAGGAAGAAGATGGAAGTAATAGCTATTCGGTTGCAAAATCCCATTCCAGTCATGAAGAAGAGGATTTGAATGATGGAGACTCTGAACCTTTGACATCAACCAACGTGGCTAGTTCTGCTACAGAAGAACACTCTGGTAAAGAAGAGCATGGAGAGAGTGAGCCTCTGACGTCACCAAAAGCCCCCAACGAAGAAGCTTCATTAGAACACAGTGATAAAGATTCCTCAAAGGCAACAGAGAGTCATAACACTTCAAGAGGATCACCGGAGCTAAAGCACTCTGCTTCTGTGGAATCTTTCGTAAGCATTAGCAGCGACGTGGAAGGTGAAAATCTTGTTGATGTGTTGAAGCAACAGCTAGAGCATGACAGGAAACGCCTAAAAGATTTGAGTAGAGAGTTAGAGGAAGAAAGAAACGCCTCAACTATCGCTGCAAATCAAGCGATGGCGATGATCACGCGGTTGCAGGAGGAGAAAGCGGCTCTCCATATGGAAGCTTTGCAGTACCTGAGGATGATGGATGAGCAAGCGGAGCACGACGTTGATGCACTTGAGAGAGCGAACGATGTCTTGGCTGATAGGGAAAAGGAGATTCAAGATCTTGAGATGGAGTTGGAGTATTATAGAGTCAAGTATCCAGATGAGCCAAGAGATGAAATTCTTGCTAGCATGGGGATTCTCGGTGATGTAGAGACGAGCGGCGTCCCAGCAACTGATGAGACCGGCGATAAAGCTCCAACAGACACCAAAGTTACTGATTCTCCATCGCCGGAAGTTTGAGAAAGAAAGATTACACATGTTTTGGAACCTACATCAATGAATACCCAAGAGTGCTCTGAGGCTAAGGAGGACTATAAGTAGGGATGGTCACAGGAGAGCCAACAGAATAATCTGCAGAGGCATAAAGATTAATGTAACAGCATTCATTGCAGAACTATATGGTGGAGAAAGCAACTCCCAACATGGAAAGTGATTCTTTCGAGCGTAGTACTCAGATGAAGGGCAAGAACAAGTGGATTACCTTAGAGAATGGTAGAGAAACATTTAGAGACACAAAAGGGAGAGTTTGTGTTTGTAATAATAGGGAAATGAAAAAGGTAGAGTTAGTTGAAGACATAGCTCAGGAGCTGCAGGGATCACACAATCTTGGGATAGAGAGAAGATTATTGATTTGCCTGTAACCATGGATTGCAGGTGCGTTTTGGAAAAGTCTATTGTCTATGCATGAAGCAAAGTAAGCATGATCCATGTTAGGAAGCGAAACCAAATAATTTTGTTATTCGTTTTAGTTGTTTTTGTGGCTACCTTAGTTTTGTGGAGAACACACCAATCATCTCACTGAAACTACAAGATTTCAGCTGAAGTTTCAAATTTATTACCACAAGCTCAATCCAGATGAGATTATCCGTTCCTACTCAACAAGAAATCTAATTGTTACCAGACAAGATAGAAAAGACAATTCACATTGATAACTTATTCAACTCAATGATAAGTACCTAGGATTTAACACATTCTTGTTCAACTCACTTCTTGAAGCTTTATAATAGCATCAAAGCTGAAACTTTCACCTGGTTCAAATGTTTCTTCAAGATCTTCATAGCTTTGCTCCACTGTCAACTCTTTGCCAACCTTTAGATCTTCCTGCGAAAGCATTAACAACCAAAATCAAACCATTTTGAACTCCAGCCACAAAAAACAGCGCAGGTCAAAAGATGTTATACTCATTGGTTCTAACTAGTTTTACACAATCAAACTAAGGCTCTTGACGAAAATTCCAATTCTAGTAGCTAAACCTGACTGAAATGGTGATCTGTTCATATATGTACATTCCAAGGAAGGTGGAGATTCAATACTAAGACCTTACATAACAAGTTGGCCTCAGGTCAATCCTCAGAAAGCATTAGAGCTAGTGTGTTTCTAAGTGTAAAAAATTCTTTAGGATCATCTTTTACATTTCACTAAAAGCAAGCTCCAGTATTAAGTATCTATCCGATAACATTTATAGACGAGTAATTTACTGAGAAGCTTGAGCTTATGACATACCTGTTTAACGTAGTCTTCGATAGCAGAATTAATTAATCTCTTTATCACCTGCCTGTACACTTTGGAATATCCAAGGATCTCTAACAAAATATCTTTCGGTATCTGCAAGTATAAGCACAGGCAAAACAACAAGTCAAAGAATGAGTGAGTTTATTTCAGCATATAATATCACTGACTCCAAAGTCAAATCTAAGAATCTCAGTACAGTGCATTGTATGATCCATCGCCAAACCACTTGATGAATAAGTTATTGTAGCTTGATGACAAAATAATGGGTTCTCTAAAATACACTCAAGTAAAAACTTACATCTGGGGTCTTCCCTGGAGTTCCAAGGTTGATAAGCAGATGAAAAGAGAAACAGCAAAGGAAAGGCATTAGAGAATCACTCAAAGAAATCACAATCATATTAACTGCAAAGTCAAGAGAGATTTCCAAAACCTTATGCAATATATGAGCATTGTAAGCAAGAGTAGATTATCTGTTTATATGTTCATTCGATTTAGTCAAATATTTCAAAAGCCCTTAGCAAAATCACAAAGTTGCAGAGAGTTGAAGGAAACATGCAATCTAACAATTTGCTCCCTCAGAGTAAGCTACAAAACACCAAATACATATTCCTAAGCGTATGATCTATCCACAGTAAATAAAGCATGGATTGAGATTCCAAATTAAGAGATCAAGTGTCAACGAAGTAAGTTTTTAAGACCGCCCTTAACTAATATCTTCCCATAGCTTATAGAGTATTTGTGGATGTCGTACCTCCTTTAACTCTACGGAACCCTGGAATTGGCTGAGCTGCAGCTACCATTTTCTCAAATACATTATTGAATACTGTTTGAGTCTTCTCTCCTGATACTTGTACATGAACCTGCACTCAACCAACAGGGAAGATAAGCAACAAAGTCTTAAGACAGTGACTAGATGTCACAACTCATGCATCTTTGGCGTAGAAACAAGAGCATACCTTAACTTCGTTGTTGTTTACAGTCTCCACTGTCGTAACCAGAACTGACTCATCTTTAGAAGAAGTCTCAACATCTGCAAAGAGAATCACATTTTCAATATAAAGAAGAAGCTGAAATGAACACGAAGGAGAGAATATAATGTAACGCTTGAAACCTGATGGTGCTGCACAAACTGCAACAAACTGTTTCTTCGTTGCTCTGTAAAGATTAATGATGAAACATCAATTATCCAAGAGAGAAACTAGAGCTAATAAGACTAACATATGGTCCAAAGACTCCATCCAGTATAACACATCAAGTTTCAGTCTTTTCTACATTTCAGAAGCTAATAAGACTAACATATTGACTAATCTCATTTTGCTCAGTCAGTGGCTACATGGTTCTCAGTTTTGGGGGCAATTTACCTTGTCCAGAATTTCTGCTGCACTGAATAAGTTTGAGGAACAGTTACAAAAGAAGAGAATTGAAATCTTGGTTTCCGTTCTGTTATCTGCAAAAATTAAACTGGAAATGTTGGGAACAAAGTACACATTTTGAATATAAGCAAAAGAAAGACATTAGTAAAAGAAGAAGGCCTTACGGTGGAGTTAGAGTTAAAGATACAAAACGCGAGGTTGTGGATGATTGTCTGCATTATCTATCTTTCACAAGATCCTATCAACTCGATTAGCTCTTGCTTCTTTACCGCCTGAAACGCAGAGGTCCGAGACGAAGGAGACGAAGGAGGAAGAAGCAGAGGACTAAAGGATAACTCGGGGGTTCGATGACTCTAGGAGGACCGGCCCGGTCTGATTTACGGTTTGAATTCGGTTTGATTTTTGGATTTAATATTGGTTTTATCGGTTTACACTTGTCATAAAAGGCTTTCGGCACTATCTTCTTGAGTCCTTGGCTTTATGTAATAAGCAGTAAAGATCAATTTAGTTTTCTTTGTCTGCAATGAGTCCAATGAAAAACCAAACGCAAACGAGAAACAAACTCATAACAACGAAGAAGAGAAAATTGCTATACAAGAGAATGAGAAGATATATTACTACATTACCCTTAACCTGTTAACAAAGCATATACACAAGGAAAATGAGCTTGCCATTGTTTTAATCCAAAGTCCTCACTGACTCTACCAAAAAGAAAAAAGAAAAAAAAAACAAACAAACCCTCTCCTAAATCTCAATTTTTAATGTCTCACAACACCATACAGAAGAAATACCCAAATAATGAAACGCAACGCTCCAACCGCACCATTGCGTAACCCTGCAAACACATGTTGAAAACGCACATCTTGTGAGTTATTTTGCTCTCAACTTTGCTCCATGGACTTTGATTTTTAGTGTTTACATTGCAAGGAAAGGAAACTAAATCATACCTTGATTTTTAAGAGTCTGAGATGTTGGCAAGGCAGGTAATGACATCTCTGCATATTCAAGTAAATTGAATAAGAAAATTTGACTCTTTTTGGCAATCTTTTTTTATTTTAAAGTGTTTTGGAAGCTCAAGCATTGCAAAGAGAAATGTTTACCAGGAGCACAGAGAGACAAAGAAGACATTGACGATGAAGATGGCCATGGCGCAGCAATGTTATCCGTCAAATCACACGTAAAGCTGTACCCTGTTGTATTGTCAAATTTCAAGTCTGCAGGATAGCTTCTCAGAAGACAACCTGTATTCACAGTGTCACCAATATACATCGTTAGACACTTCAACGCAAAACAACAACACAAATCAAAATTATGAGATGAATTGATGCAAACCTTGTGGCATTCCATATACTGCTTATCGCCCAACAGCACACCCAGGAAACATAAAAAGAAAGAGATAATGTCAGGAAGAGGATAAGACAAGACAATACAGTTATTTGGAGAGGCTTGTTTTGAAGTGTATAACAGAAACAATTACCTTGGACACTGAAATCTTTGAGATCGACATCACAAAGCTCATAGATATTTGTCATGACACCACCTTTCCTCAACATAGAACCGATGACTGTTGCACAGACTATGGCCTGCTTGTTTGTTATTAGCATTTGGTTCTGTATCCCAGAGATGTATGTATTCAACGAGCTACAGCAAGAAGGGCTCGGAGCAGCCACATTACGACAAGCCTTGATCACTTCAGTGGGCTGCTTAAACTCCAAGGGGCAAGCTGTAACCACAATGTACAGTCAGAATCATTTCCAAGACTAACAAAAAAAGATACACTTCGGTACCTTTGTTAACTTTGCAGGACGATAATATTCGAAACGCAGTGTTTGCTTTGTCTGCTGGGAGCTTCCTGGATATATATGAATACACCACATTCTTGCAGTCGTTGATAGCGTTGATGTTATTTGACCCACCTAAAGGGATCTTATCACCAACTGCCATTTGGTGTCCCGAGATAATAAGCGCAGCTTCCATAATCGCTGCTTGGCAGATTGGCCTGCAACACTCCTTAAGAGGATCAACAGTGCGACAGGCGTCAAGCAATTTGCTACCGTTAACAACTCTCTCGAACGTAGTGACATCTGTTACCGCACAAGAACCTCCGGTTAGATTTGACGACGTTACAGAGCAAAGTGCAGGTATTGTCATGTTGGCTCTTCTGCTGACCAGGATGCTAACGATATCTGAAAAACAATCTGTAGCAACCGCGTCAGGGAGAACCAACTTATCTGACTTCACGTCATGCTGTCCTTGGAAAATATGAAGCAAGCTAACGAACTGTGGACAACATATCACATTCCCAACAAGTGCAGCAAACGGTTGGGAACAATCGGAAGCAGCTGTGTCGATAACACTTGAAATGGCTTGAAAGTCTGTGGGACATTTCCCGGTTAACTTTGGTTCATATGTATCAGGAAAAGTAGGGTACATTGGTGGTGTCCAAGGTAGAGCAGGGGATGCATATTTTGGGATGACGGACGGCGATACTTCAATGGGACCAGATACTCCAATACCAGGTGGATTTGCCAACTCAGATGTTGTCGTTCTGCTACTATGCTCATTGACCTTATAATGTGCAGCTACATCTTGGAAGCTTGATAGCCAGATAATAAATAACAAGAAGCGATGAACCAAACAGCCTGATAAGAGAAGCAAGTAAGCCCATTAACAAACAGCTTTATTTACTTTGATCAAAAGTTCAATATAGTAGTCAGATAAAAAACCATAACCAGTACAAACGCTGGCAAAGCACTCCTACAACAACAACCTTGAGAAGAGAGTATAAACCCAAAATAAAAGTTAGTAACTTTCAGTGAACCCATTGCAAACAAATACACAGCAGCTTGACTAATAGACATCTACAGTGATGGTGGAAGTTACATTGCTTTGTGAATGTCCTGCCTTTATTATCATGAAACTAACGAAAATTTGGGTCTTTTAAAGTATTACTCCAACTAATTTTTAGTGGAAAAAAAGAATCCAAGCCCCCACATTAAAAAAAAAAAACATAAAAGATTCCTCAAATCTTGTGTTCTTCCACCAAATATTTTGGCATCTAAAAACCAATAAAGCTTTTTGTATTGAAGAGCAATAGATCCTCAGTTATTCGGATCCACCAAAAACACAAAAAAGGTTAAATTTCTTTTCTGCCCAGAACAAAGCAGAATCAATACCCAATCCTTCATTACTCCAAATTATCAACAAACAAAAAAAAAACACTAAGCTCCAAAGTAGAAAATTAAAATAAAGGAAGAAGCTCAAACATTACGATTAGATTAGAGACATTCATGTAGCGAGCCCATAAATTTCCTCAAATTGGCACTAATTTCAACACTTTCAAAGCCCTATAACGAGAAAGAGATAGCTAGAAGAAGAAGAAGAAACAAGTGAAGGTACCTGCAAATTTCATCATCCTTAGAAATCAAACCATTTTATTCCGAGCAAAAGTTAGAGCTAAGGGAGCTTAATCCCGTAGAAATTGAAACCCGTCGGCTTCTTCTTCCGAGAAGAAAATCGATTACGGCGAAGAGAGTTAGCAGAGAAGAAGACTGAGAGATGAATGAGCCACACAAAGGGGAAAAGCAAAAGAAAACTTGAGAGTTCTTACTTTACCTTTCTCTCTCTCTCTCTTACTGTGTTTTTTGGTTTTCTATTTTCTTTTCATTTTACCGTAATTAGGCATGGCCTGAAAAAAGTGATGACTCATCATCATCAGTTTCATCATAATAATCTCTCATTTTAGGATAGTTGTTAATTGTTAATGTCAAATACTTTTTACTTTTCATGATTTCTTTCTGACCTTTCTGTGGCTGGAATAGTGACATACTGATGAAGTTTCTGCAATTCTACTAATGTATATTGTAACATAAATTAAATTTACTAGATTATACGGTTTCTACTATATACTATTCACTATGAGAGTACATAGATATATCTGTAGATAAAAGACAATTATCCCACAGAGACAGAGTTTATGATTTAAGATGCAAATAATCGAGCTAAATTTGATTGATGTTGACTTTTATATGTATTATTATGCTTAGGAATCCAAGACAATGAGACATCATCCTTTAAGCAGATTTGTTGACAACGTTGCTTATGTCCACATTCTGTGTGTTTGAATTTTGAGGTTGATTAATAATAATATTTTCACTGTCATAAATCTCATTTCTTATTAATCTATTATCTTTTACTAGGTTTGAAGCCCCGCGCAAGCGCGGGGTTGTTTGCGATAGTTTTTCTGTTTAATTTTATTTATACTCGTTGATTTGAATTATGATGGTTTTGTATTAACTTTCATGTTTTTGTTATGTTTTGAGTTAACTCAACCACTAACACTAAAAAATATGAATAATTTGTTTTTATTTTAATTTATTAGGATATTAACACCCCGCTTTATCTCGAGTTTTCTATTTCTAAAATTTATCATGTTATAAATATTATGTTTGTTTACTTTTTTTTTTACTTCTATTAGACTGTAAACATGTATATGTATTTGATTGAAGGTTAAAATTTATAAATATGTATATGCATTTGACTGAAGGTTAAAATTTGTAAACATATTCTTGTTTTTCACTACAATTAAATTTACATATAAAACTCCATTTCTATTTGTTTAGAAAAACAAACTCTAACTCTAATGTTTCATTAGCTTTCTATTATCTTAATTAATTTATATTCAACTTTTTAACTTGTAAACACATTATAACATTTTTAAATATGATAAATCCTTTGAATAAAAAGGTAAATATATACTATTTGAAGTTAAATATTTCTTTACTCCATCTCTATTTTATATTCCAACTTTTTGATAACTTTTAACATCAAATTATCACATACTTTCTATTAATTAATTAATTTATTTGTATATTTTTATTAAATATGAATAAATGTAAAGAAATATGAATAGTCATATATTTAATAAATAATTTAAATACAATTTAATGTTTTTGTGCTGATGTGGACACTCTAGATGGAGAGAGCAACTCTCCTATTATATATAAGATGTATGCAAATTGCAAAAGCAACTTTTAGTCTATTAACAAAAAAATCGGGTCGGTTTGGCCGGATTGGCATGGATAGAAGAACATTACGTAAAAGTTATGAAGACATCCAAATTGGTGAAAGCTACAAATATTACAAACACATAAACAGGTGACGGATTCAACAAGTGTGGTGCGTGAAAATCATCATACATAACTCTAATAACAATTAACAAGACAAGAATGTTAGCATTTACCCATAACAAACAAAAAAGAGAACACAAAAACAAAAACAAAGCTGATTTTGACAAGAAAAACGATACAGCCAAAGGAAATACAGCATCATCATCATCATCATCATCGAGGAAGAGTCATTCAGCTAGCCAAATGGTTTGGGGAATTGTTGAACATACTGTGCCACATGTAAGCTCTTGACAAAACCATCTCTAGGTCTTGGTCTGTCCATGTCTGTGTCGGAAGGTGTTGCAGGAACATTACCATCTCTTGAAAGTCCAGCTTCTTCAGCTCATCTGACCACTGCATTGTTCACAAAGCAACTTGTAATTTGACTCTTCTCATGTTAAAAGAGAAACACAACTTGGACGACTCTTTTTAAAATGTTACTTACTGTTAAGAGAAAGCTAGCATATATATACACTAGGAACTCTGGCAATGCATCTCCTTCAGCAAGATAAGTGTCCCATAGACGGTTGATGAGACTGAAAGGGATCTACAAAGCTCAAAACTGTTTTGTCAGTTTCCAATAATAAAAACAAGTGAAATAAAGACTAGGAGTTGTAACGGTGTCTAACCTCACGTATCAGAAGACAGTTATACCACCGGAAAGCAAACTGAAGAAACTCCAGTCCTTGCTCCTCCATGTGTCTTGAAACAGGTTCTAGTACATAAATAAGGCAAGATAAGTTGTTCTGCTTAAACAGTGACCAAAGAAACACAGCCAATTTATAAGATCAATCAAAAGCAGGAGCCTTACCATCAATACGCCTGACCAATTCCTTCAGCTTAAACACAAGTCTCTGGATTCCAGGTTGAGCAAACGTGTAATGATCTTGCATACCATCAAGTAGCTTTGTTAAGCACCAGTAGCAATCCGCTTCTACATCTGAGACTTTTTCAGCAGTTAAATCGTCCATTGACCAACTTTCTACACCGCCTTCTAGATATTCTGACAAGAAAATTACTAGAAAGGGAGTGACCAGGTCGTTTATTCCCTGAACATATCCGCTCGCTGGATGCCTAATGGCCCTACAAACTCAGAATTTTTTAAAGTAAATTAGCTTCCAACTGGTTGTTAAGTTGACTGAAGAGCAACTACTATCACAGCCTGCATTCTATGGCTCACCATGTATAAAGAATACGCTCCAGTGATTTCTGCACCTGTGCTTGCTGAAAGAAACTGACGTCTGGTACAGTCCTTGGACAGTCAACAGCAATCTGAGAAAAAATACAGCTGCTAAGAGACTTTACCAACTGTTGAGGATTTTGTTAGAATAGCTCTGAGGACTACGAGGAAAAACCTGGCGAAGCATATTGATCTCATCATCAGAACGTTCGGAATCTGGAAGGTCATAAAACTGGCCAACAGATTCCAGATATTCAAGACGTTTTCTTCTCAGAACAGCCTCCCTTCTATCTGAATTAGGTGGTGCATATCCCTGTTGTCAGTTTATATTTAAATTCAACTATACAAAAACAAAATCAAAAACCAAAATTGTTGAAGCAGAGAATGCTCATGGGAAGAGATCATAACATCAGCTATCTGACTAATGGAAGTTTGCCCTCATTCTGAGTCTAAATAAGCTAAACATATGATGATCAATCAGTATAGTGTATTGACAATGCTTGAAGAGAGCGTACCAAGAGAAGCCGCCAGACATCAGGCCGCATATAGTGTGGCACACCATTCCATGCTAGCTCGCGCAGTTTCTCTGCAGGTAAGAAGAGGACATTTAAGAAGATCAAAATGGACTCTTTCATTGAGCTATGAGGAAAAGCTTGAACACAAGGCCATATAGGATTCTCACTATCAAAAGGTTCACTAAGAATAGTAAGTAAAACACTAGATCAAAGGGAAAAGCAGAGTACCTAAAATAACAGTTGTTTCAGAAAGCACTTTATTGAACTTCATGATTCTTGCGGAGTCACTTGATCTAACACCTATCTTCAGGTTTTGGACTTCTTTCACAATCCTTTCACTGCTACTAGAGTTTGATCTCAGCTTAGCAGCATATGTGTTATCATGTTTCTTGACTGAATTGTGATCTTCCACCTGCATATATAGCGCTCTCATTACTTTTACTGCAGGAAGAAGAAGTGAGGAAAGTTAAGTAATTTACACAGCAATAAGCATACCTCGACGGGATTCTGAAAACGCTCGTTTCTTCCGGCGTCGTTCTCCGACAAGCTCCGGTGATACGTTGGAGAGATGGGAGCTTGAGGAGGATCCGATCTCCTAGTCAACAACACCTTTCCAGGAATACTCCTACCTTTGAGAAACCTATAGCAAAACCAACACATTTCCGAAACTCTCAATACGATTCGAAATGATCTGTCTCCAGAATTTCATGATTCACGGCACAGATCCAAGACAGGGAAAGCAAAACAAATGCAAGATCCGGGAGGAGAAAGCAACAAATGATTTACCCCTGGACGTTCTTGAGTGTCTGATTGAATCTGGAATCGTCGCGCTTCTGTTGATCGTCTTCTCTCCGCTCCATGTTTTTGAGCTCCGATTCAACAACACAGAAGTGTAGACAGATAGTTTCGATTGAGAATTTGGGTTCGTCTGCTTTCCATCGATTTCAAGGTCCCTCTTCTAAAGGGAAAGCGATTGGGATAGATTTAGGCGTAAATCACTGCATGATGATTTTAATGGGCTCTCTCTGTTTTCAAAGCGACTTTTGTTTGATATGGTTTGGGCATTAAACAAACCATATGATTTGTTTTCTCTTTTTATTAGTAAGGATCAGAAGTATGCACATGTTTAGAGGTCTCGAAACATTTATCAATATGTTGAATTTTAAAAATGGCTTCTGATTCATATTCAGTCACAGCCAAATCAACGGTTCAAAAAACTGAGGCAGTCAAGGCAAGGAGATGGGTCTCTCTGCATCCATCCGCTCGATCACTCTTCTAGCTTCTTCTTCAGTTGCTGGAACCACATTCCTTATCTTCAATCCATCTTTCATCGCCTCAGGTCTCACACTGAATGTGAAGTAGAACCTGTTTGACACCTACCACCACCCAAAACATCACCATCACATGTTACATAAACCTCACAGCTCAAAGTTATCTGTATGCACACTTACTTCGCTAGACCTGAGCTCTGGACTTGTAACATGAGCTACAACCTCAATGTTTATCAACGGCTCAGCTGAACTAGTAGCTTCTGTGTACAGCACTCGTGACTTAAAACGAAGGAAGTTCCCAACATCCACCTGCATTGTAACAAAAATTGGCCCCTCAATAGATTGCTAGTTGCTACCAGAAATGAAAAAGATGAGAAGGAAATGGACTCACTGGCTTGATAAAATCGACGCGGTCAACTTCAAGAAAACGTGGCGAAACCCCAGCGAATGTGTAAGCATTGGAGAAGGCCAGCTCAAAGGCCTTACGCATCAAGAAGCCTCCAAAGATTCTACCATGAACATTCCGTTGCTGCGGCTGGCAGATCAATGAGTTCTCATGGGAAGTATCTTTGATCAGGATGCTGTCCCGATCCGCAAGAGCTGGCATGTCCAAAAACACTCGTCCTTCTGCTAATAGCTCGTTTAGCCTCTCCAAGTCCTTTAACTTCTCGTGTTCTTCTTTACTCTCTGCTCTCTTTTGTTTCCGTAGTTTGTTCCTCTCTTCTGCTTCTCTCCAGAGCAGTTTCTCATGTTCAGATTCTGGCGTGACAGGGTTAATCGGAGTTGACTTGCCTGTCTTGGCATCTCGAGCCACAAATGTAAAGTTTGCTTTAAGAGCGACTGACTCAGAGGGGTTGTTGGCATCTGCAAGATCTTGCTGTTAGAAGACTCACCAAAGCAACCTGAGCAATCAGAGGGGTTGTTGTAGAGAGAACCTGATACTGATACCTTGAGCTTGGATTACTTGTAATTGCATCTCCATGGATGATCTTCCAACCCATGTAACAGCACCAACTATACTGAGGTCAGCATCCACACGAATTGGTCTTTTCATGATAATCCTATCCACGGAAGCAGTCACCAAAATCATTGCTCTCGCATTGCCATTACCGCTGCTGCAATGCTGCTCAGGAAAAAAAAAAAAGCATACTAAAAGCTCAATTTCCCCAATTGCTCAGGCTTGCAAACACACATGAAAAGCTGATACCAGAGAACGAACACAACTGGATAACAAGAGCCAAAAACAAGAGACTCATCACTAACTTATCAAAGGCAAATCTTTTCACATCAAAGCCAATCCAAATCAATTTTCCGAAAATGATTTCTGTGAAGTAAGATGTGATAAGAGTAAGAACCTTGAAGGAGATAGTTCCAGCGAGAGCGTCAAGATCTTCAACCAATTTACCAGTACGAATCTCGTTCCAAGGATTCCTGTACTGCTCGCGAAGCACGAAATCAGAAGAAAACTTGTAGAGAATAGAGGTCCGGCTCCGCGACGGAGACTTGGCGGCCAATCCCCCCGATTGAGAATCGTCGTCTCCGGTAGGGTTTTCGAACATGTTGCGTCTGGCTTCCCAGAGCGCATTGGTCACGGGAGAATGGTACATCCCAGGCCACAAGCTTACGGGTTTCCTCATTGAAGAACCTGCGTCGATCGAATTTTGATCAGGGCTTTCGTCTGGCGGAGGCACCGTGGAATTCCACATCTTCTGAGAATCGCACGACCTCGAAGCCGCCGGGATCGGAAATCCATCGCCTCCTGCTGCAGAACCAGGTTTCCCGCGGTTTCTCCGTAGAGAATGCGAGAGAAGCTTCCCGGCTGATGATCTCATTGATTCTACGACGATGATGATGATGGATGCACAAAGGATTCGCCTTTTTGACCGATCGGATTACTCCATTTTGTCTCTCTTTTTAAGTTTCATTCGTGGATTTGATCTTTTCAGCCGAAGTGCTAATCACACACTACAGTGTGCGTTGTGTGCTAATCAAACTAAATGGTAATATAAATATTTCCCAATCATTTAGGCGTGTTTATTGAATTTGAATGAATATATGGGAAGATGTTCACAAAAAAAAAAAAAAAAAAAAAAAGAATGAATGAATATATGGGAAATTGATTTTAAAGCATTTTCCAGTTTTTTACATTGGATTTTAATGGATTCCATCAAAAAGAAATTAAAAAAAAAGCTTAGTTCTTTATATTTTAATGGATTCCAGAAAATAGTTTTAACAACCCTAATCTCCTTTCCTATATATATTACTAGATTAGGCACCGTGTATACACAGGTATTTGAATATTTTTAAAACAAATAGGGAAAAAATATTAAACAAAATCAGATCACAGTAAATAGAATAATATTAAAAATCGAATAACAAATAAAATTAAAAATCGAATAACAAATCTATAAATAAAATAATTTTGGTAATATTTTTACATTTTAATTGTAATTGACATTTTTTTTTAATTCATGATATGAAAATGAATTATTTTTTGTTCTTTTGATTTTTATCCAATATAGAAAGACTTAGACGTGTCTTAGTCTGATTGACTAATTAACTCGTGAAACTTTTATTATTATGATTTCAATTGATGAAATCTTTTTGATATTTTTTAACCTAACAAAAAATGAAAATTAGACTATTTAAAATTAGAAGATAGGTCCATTATAAATATTTCATTTCAATATTAGTTAGTTGCAAAATAATTATTTTGTCAGTTTTCTATTTGTATTATTTTTTTTTAAATATTTTTTTTGCCTCACACTATTATAAATTTTTCTTTTCATTAGTAGTTAGTCTTATTATTTTGTTTTTCTTGTTCTTTTCATGATTCTTCATATCCCTAATATATTAAAAGAAAAGACATATATAAAAATAACCTTTCATTCATGTGTTATTTTCAATTATGCCATGCTGATGTGTCATCATATGCTTCACTTTTAGAGTCTTTCTAACTTAATATTGTCTTTACTAGAGTATTTACAACATATGCCATTGATATTATTTTGTCTCATTTAGTTGTATGCTAATATCATATAGAGAATATTGTGATCAACGTTTATTACACTTAGAACAAGTTAAGGAATTATTCTGCCTTTACTTCAAATAACATATTAAAAGGTATTTTATCCACATTTTCATCGAATTACATATGAAAGCATCTTATTATTACAAGGTATTTTCATAACATAACTATTTAACGTTGGTATATGTTATAACCATTACGTGATTTGTCAAATTCTATTAAATTATTATTCAGCTTCGTCAAAATAAAAGCATGCATACGTATATAACAAAGTATATATGCGATGTATCATACTTTAAAATTAATTGTTGTGAAGGTATGGATTAAATCAATTAATTATTTCATTCATTTTTGCATGATACACTGGTTTATAGACAAAATGTTATCCATGCAATAAGAATAAGTGACAATTATATCGTGGTGTGCATAATATTTAAATAAATGTAAATTCAAAATAGTGTTTATGATTTGAGGTTTAACGTAAAATCAACCCTTAATCATCGTTGATGTATATGTCATTATTTGACTTATATTTTAGTAAAGTTTGAAATATTGTAATTATTTCACTTTGTAATATGAGAAAATTCTGAAATTATTTCGTTATAATATTTGGGTAAGGGAAGTAAGTAATAATCCATACCAAAAATAAGTATAGAAGCTAACTGTAATTAGATTATTCCTTAATTACACTTATTTTTGGCATTTAATTATGAGCTAATTATAAGCAGAATATGATAATCAAATAATAATGTGAACCATAATATATGTGATTGTTAATAAGCTTTTGGTAAGTGAGATTTGATTCTTGAATCTCGAGTAAATATGAGTCAAGGCAGTAAACCATAATCCCTAATATATTAAAAGAGAAAACACTAACTAAATAACCTTTGTCCATTGTGTTATTAACAAGAGTGCCACTGCTGATGTGTCATCACCAGGTTCACTCTCAGCCCAATTTCTAATTAAGCTTTACAAATTACAAATTGTGCCATTGCATATTATGCTTACCATCCATTTATTATTATTTATTTCCTTAATTGACAATTACGAAAATAAGTAAATAAGGAAGATATGAAATTCAATTGAATTCTATCATAATAATTTTTTTAAAAATCATTATATATCCCTATCATCTTTGTTCAACTTTATTTTATAAAATAATATGAATCACAATATAAAAAACTAATAAAGAAAATCTAAAGCTTTTTCTGTATATGCTATGATTTGAATTTTTAAAAACAAAATAATCAATTGTTTAGTATATAACCTCATTTAGTGTAACCTAGGTATTTAAAGTAAATTATTATTTTTATTTATTTAATATGGTTTTTAATTAAATTCTATAATAAAATTGAATAAAAAAATTTTTATAAATTTTTACTTTGATTAAAAATTTGAATATTATTCCATCTGTTTCAACTTCAATATAAAGTTAATTATATTTTTGTTGTTTTAACAATTTAGATCATATATATTGTTTCTTATTGGTTGAATTGTTTTGAAATTATAATAAAACATGTTTTAGTTTTGAAAGAAAGAGAAAAAATAGTTCTAATCCATGTTTAGTTTTGAAAGAAAGAAAAAAAAATTGATTTTAATCCGTGTTTTAGTTTTAAAAGAAAAAAAAATAGTTCTAATCTGTGTGCACACAGCTAAGACTTCTTATTTTATAAAATACAGTATACATTTTTGTAAAGAATAATGTTTTATTTTCACTTTTTTGTTCTTTAAACTAACTTATTATACTGTAGTCATTTGATTTCATATATCTCGCTTAAATCTATCATATTTAATATATGACTATGTTCAAGACTTTAATCTATTTACCTTTTTAAAAAATATTTAAAATGCTTAATTTTCATATTATAAACGAATAAACGAAGGCAATAATCTAACAAAGATTAAAAATCCGTCGCATAAAATTTTGAGATATTTAAATAAACATTTTTTAATAAATTACCAAAAAACATCTTTTAATAAAAATACAAATTCGGAAACCATCACCCCGTGCTGGGCGCGGGTCAATCCCTAGTTGAATCATATTACAAAGATTAACTAAGCAGCTGCCATCATAAATGAATCTATTGAAAAAGGATAAAATAGTTAGTATATATTGATTATTTATATCATATAAAATATGGAAAATCTACAATAAATTTCTTTTTCTAAATTCATTAACCTCTTCGGGATCATGATTCAAGAAAAACTTAGTTGAAGAACATGCGAAGAAACAAATTGCTCCGCGATTTACCAAAACGCTTGTCATAATCACAACGATATTATCGTCTTCTTTGATGAGTTTGTGAATGAGAGAAAAAAAAAAGACTATCTTAAGTCTTTTTAAAGGTGTTCACGTAACCTATTACATACACTGATAGGAAACTTACTTTACATAACTTATTCCATATACTAATAAGATTTTTGTTTTGTTATATTATTTCGAATTTAATATGTGTTAAAGATAATTTAATTTAATTTAAATTTTTTTTTTGAATTACTAAGAGGTTCTGGGCCGAAGTCCGTACATCCCCTTAGGCCCGAAACCACAGCATGTAATATTGGTTTCGTCCCAAGCGGCACTCGATCCTGTGACCTCTAAGCTTTGCCTATGGTCATTTTACCAGTCGAGCTATAGCCACTTGGTAGGATAATTTAATTTTAATGAATGGAAAACCTTTTTCTGATTAGAACAATTGTTTTAGTGCGATCATTTCTTATCTCCATCATGCTCATCATGGACCTCTTCCCAGACAAATTGCCATAGTAAAGCCGATGAAGGCTGAACCGACACTCACGCAGAACCCTATAGTTACCCAAAACGCTGGACCAGATGATGATATGTGAAAGCAGAAAGGACTCCCAATACAGCACAACCTGCAAACATGGATATTTGATCGAGGATGACACTGGCAACCTTATTATTTTCAACAACCAAGTAGTAACATAGGAACGTGAAGATGTGGCAGACTAGATCAATGCAAAACGTAGTTTGGAAATGGTGAACAAATTGGGTCGTTTGCTTCTCTGGGTATGTTGCATTGAAGGCAGTTCGGAGCCCTACAATTGTCCCAAAATTGGTGTAGACTGCGACAGACATGATGAATAGGGTGGCATTGCTGATCTGTTGAGACGAGGCTTCTTGCCATTTTTCGGCGACAGCAGGCAGCAGATTGCGTGAAATCTAATAACAGTAAAATTAAATAAAGTCTTCAATTCTTCCAAATGCCATTAAATTATTTAATCTATTACCTTCACCTTGAGCTAAAAAATATTGAAAAGATACTAAAGAGAAATCCACATATATCAGATGTGGTCGTTTATACATATTAGATGTGGTCGTTTATGCACATTAGAGTAATATTTATTTTCTTTATGCTTTGTTTTTTCCATATATCAAATAAATTGTCTACCAACCATATCAATTAATATATTCATTAGTTCACTTTAGATACAAGTATATATATTTTCTAAATAAAGGTTTGTAGACTTGAAAGAAAACAAGAACAGTTTAAGATGCATTTGTCCTAACACTAACACTTGTAAAAGCTTGATTTTTGGTAGCGAGATATATTTTATTCATGTAAAGTGAAGTAAGATGTTCACAACATGTGTAGTATTCAATTTTGATATCAGTATACACGTAAAAAATATGATAAATGATGAAACTATATAGGTAAACTAAAATAAAACTATATGTTTACTCTTTCAATCTAGCTCCTCATTGGCAAACAACACTTCTAAATGCTAAGGGGTCAAGAAACTTTGCATTACATACCTAATAACTACACGAAATGTGTACTGGGAATTCTACCCACTTGAATATGCTTTACCCAAAATTTGTGATAAACATTGAAAATAAAGTTAAAGGTTTTCTTTTGTCACGCTTATGCCAAAGTTGGTTTCTTGATTGTATCTTCTTAAATGGACTTTCTGATTTTTGTTGAGAAATTTTCTATAGTTAAGAATGATTGATTATAAATTTCTTAATAACCCAACATGTGATTTCTACGTGTACTTTATTAATATGATGGAATTTACCTTATATTAAAAAATAGATTACTAACATGTTACAAGGTATACCTTTGATCAAACTTACAGAATATCGAAATAACCTATATCAGAATATCAATATTATTTGGTTCATCATATTCTCTTGGTTTACCTTATTTGTCTTGATTTAGCTATTTTGAATCTTGGTTCGTTTGGTTCATTGTTTGAGAACATTATGTAAGGCACGATTTGCCATTTGGTAAATCAATCAACAAAACAATAATCTTCTTAAACCCTATTCTCTGTTAATCATCATCATCAAACTCCATTGAATCCAACCTCTTCGAAATGGTTCTTCGAAAGGGTTCTTCTTCTTCTATAGTCATCTTCTAGACTGGATTTATACGTCTTTTTAGGATTCTCAGCAATGATTTAAAAATCAGACCGGACCGGCCGGTCGGACCGGTCTAACCGGGAACCGGTGCCTATCCTGGTTTGAGTTTAATGAAAACCCGTATTTGCAATTAACCAAAAAAAACCGATTAAAAACCGGCTAAAACCCAAAAGCCGGCCGGTTCAAATTAATTGGTAAACCCGGTTTTGTGTTTATGCACTCTGAAAACCCTAAATTGCTTCTTGTTTATTTGGTAATCTAGTGTTGACGACATTTTTTTTTTCCATTTCAAGCTTAATCGAATTGTTTGAATTCATGGAAGTCAAACATATTTTGATTTTCACAGTGACATTATCCCTTTGTGTTGATTTCTCTAATCTATTTCGAGATTGTTAGGAAGGAAAAGAAAAAACTGTAGAAATAAGGAAGGAAACAAAATTAGAATAACAATTTTACAGAAACAGAGTGAAGAGAAAGGAGCAAGAAGAAGAAGGAAGAGGGAGGAGATAGGCGGCGGTTTAGAAAGAGAAAAGTAGGGTTTTCTCACAAAACTGACAAAAGTAATTTATGTTTTGTTTATTGAATATACATTCAAATATTAGTTGCCACATATATATAATAATATATATATATATATATATTAATAAAATAAATATTGAAAACCCGGTTAAACCAGTTGGACCGGATTAACCCATGACCCAAAAATCTTTCCGGTTTGCCCTCCAGTCCAGTTTTTAAAACATTGATTCTCAGTGAATCTTTCATTTAGAAACTGAAATTTATATATTAAGAACAAAATTAGTGATGTTCCTTTCAAGTTACAACTAAAATACAATAAAGCAAAAAAAAAAAGATTGATTGAATTCTCAGAGAAAAAGAGATAAAAAAGAGAAAATTTAAAACTACAATTTTTAAGGTCCATTTTCAAAACTACACATGTTTTTACTTTCAAAATTACATCTTTTTATTAAATAAAAGAACTCTAAACCCTAAATCTAAATTCTAAACCTTAAACTCTTAAATCTAAACCTTAAACCCGAAAATCTAAACTCTAATTAAGGATTAGTGAACCCAAACTATTTAGATGTTAAATTTGAAAAAATGTAATTTTAAAAAATTAACACTACAAATGTGTAATTTTGAAAATATACACTCCCAAAAGTATACTGTATTTCTTAACATTTCTGTACAAAAACATAAACTTGGAAAAAATAACTCAAAGAAGAAAAAGCCAAAGGAGAAAAGTTGGCTTTCCTTTTGGCCGTTTTATATCCTTCCCCGCGTTTGACCATCTGTCTTCATCAAGCAAAAGCCTCCTCCTCCTTCTTCTCCACTCACTCTTTCTTTCTCTCTCATCCACAGAGGAGACAATCATACGCAACGAACCCAGATCGAGAGAAAAGTCTCAGCTGAAGCACGTTTTCGGAAAACCGAGATTTGACAGGTAAAGAATCTTCCTTTAATTTTTTCCATTTTCAATTTCTCTGCGTTTGGATTGGGATCAATTCTCTCGATTTTCTACTTGTAAAGAATCTTCCTTAGACTAATCGATTCTCGAGATTTGAAATTCTTTAGGTCTATTGCTGCTGCTGATCTTTGATTCTCTTATGGTTTTTGTTTCAATATCGGTAGTAGTTGACTATTGCCAAACCTTATCTGGCGGCAAAATTTTGTCCCTTTCTGATTTGTAATCTTGCAATTGGATTTCTGGTCTGTGTAGTAAGTAACGTTCGCCTAATGGAATGTGGGTTTGTTGATTGAAAAGTACAATTTTCTTAAAGTTGCAATCTTGATGCGATTCAGATTCCAGTTTCTGCTGCTGTTTTGGCTTTAAAGTTGGAATTTTTAAGTAATGGCCATGGCAGTGACAGCTGCATTTCTTAAAACTTTGTCCTACTTACAAGTATAGGGTCACGAGCTAGTAGAAGATAGTTTCGTTTATGCATTCCATATTCATTTGGTTTCAACGTGTTTCAGGAACTAGAATCTGTGGAAGATCTGTATTTGTAGAAGAGAACAAAGATGCGCAGGTGGATCTGTTGTGGGCGTAAAACAAGAGATTCAAGTTTATCAAATGATGATGAACATTTGAAAGATCCATGGCAACAATCTGATGGTATGTTGCAGACAAGAGTTTTCACTTAACTTACTGAAATGTCATGTCTATGTATGGTTGTGATTCGTGATCTAGTGGGAATGGATTCTAATGGTTTTGTTTGCATAGTGTATAGAGGCTTTAAGCTTTCAGGCTTTGTGTAATTAGTATCACATTTGCACACATTTTTGAAAGAGGGAACTTGAAACATTTGATGAGTAATCTTTGTATGTTTCTCTAATATGTAGCAAATCAAAAGAATCCAAAACCACAAGCTGTTGCAAAGCCTGAGGCGCAGAAGGAAGCTCTTCCCATTGAAGTTCCTCCCTTGTCAGTGGATGAGGTTAAAGAAAAGACTGACAATTTTGGATCAAAGTCACTGATTGGTGAGGGATCTTATGGAAGGGTATACTATGCAACTCTAAATGATGGGAAAGCAGTTGCTTTGAAGAAACTCGATGTTGCGGCTGAAGCTGAAACAAACGCTGAGTTCTTGAGTCAGGTTATACATATTTCTTCAATCCCCATTCCCTTCCCTTCCCTTCCCTCCTCTGTCTTTAGGAAACTTATCTTTACATCCTCTTGCTTGTTTCTTCTTAGGTTTCCATGGTTTCAAGACTGAAGCATGAGAATCTCATTCAGCTGGTCGGTTATTGTGTCGATGAGAACCTCCGTGTTCTTGCTTATGAGTTTGCGACAATGGGATCACTGCACGACATTCTACATGGTATTATGAGCTTCCCATCCCATTATTATTATAAAATATATGAAACAGAATCGGTTGTAATAAACAACTATTTATATTACAGGTAGGAAGGGAGTTCAAGGTGCACAGCCAGGTCCAACACTAGAGTGGATAACGAGGGTGAAGATAGCCGTTGAGGCAGCTAGGGGTTTAGAGTACCTTCATGAGAAGGTTCAGCCTCCTGTAATACATAGAGACATAAGATCTAGCAATGTGCTTCTTTTTGAAGACTATCAAGCAAAAATTGCTGATTTCAATCTCTCAAACCAAGCTCCTGATAACGCTGCCCGTCTTCACTCCACAAGAGTCTTAGGAACCTTTGGCTATCACGCTCCAGAGTAATGTTCCTTTAAGCCATAAAGAAGATGGGTTGCATTCTCGTATGAAAGTATGAATGAGGCAGTTAAGAGGAGTGTCCTGTTCCCATTTTGCAGATATGCTATGACTGGACAGTTGACGCAGAAGAGTGATGTGTATAGCTTTGGTGTTGTGCTTCTAGAGCTTTTGACAGGGAGGAAGCCTGTGGATCATACAATGCCGCGTGGCCAACAAAGTCTTGTAACCTGGGTATGTTATATTTTTTCTGTTCCCTGTATCCTTCCTACTCTTCTTTAATCTCCTGTCTTAAGATTTTGAGTTTGCCGTTTATTGTTATTCAGGCTACACCGAGACTCAGTGAAGATAAAGTGAAGCAGTGTGTTGATCCAAAGCTGAAAGGAGAGTATCCTCCTAAATCAGTAGCTAAGGTATTACATATATCCGACGAGTATCCAAATGGATTTGGCCTTTTATAATAGCAAGATTTTCATCTGAAAGTTATGAAACTGTGGTGTGGTAACGCAGCTAGCAGCGGTGGCAGCATTGTGTGTGCAATACGAATCTGAGTTTAGACCGAATATGAGTATAGTTGTGAAAGCTTTGCAGCCACTTCTTAAACCTCCAGCGCCAGTCCCAGCACCTGAATCTTGAGTGTTCATCAGGCATATTCTTCGTGCAACAGAGCTGGGATTCTTTGTTCATACAAAGTGAGAGAGTTTCACTCTAATTTGGGGGAAAAACAAAGACAAAAAAAAGTTTAAGATCATGTTTTTTGTTTTTTTTTTTTTTTTTCTTCTATTTTTTTGTTGAGGAGATGAAATCATGAGTTGGGATTTTGGTGCATAAATATTTTGCAGTTGTTATATCTGTAGTGGAAACAACAGGCTTTTTGCTTTGATTGGCGTGGAGAACAAAGATGAAAGATGTATTGCATTTTCTTGTTCTTTTCTTTTGTTTCTTCTCTTATGGATTCGGAATCATCTGAATATTCTGATTCTGCCATCTTGAATTGTTTTTTTTTCTTTCTCCGGGGTCCCTTTAATAAGTCAACACCAGCGCTTAACAAGTTGTTATAATTCTAAACCCAACTGTAACCAACACACCAGTGCCTATGTTCTATAATATTTTATTGTTCCTGCTTGTAAAGAGTTATTCTTTCGGTTTCTCTGTAAGACTGGCAGTGAGTGGAGACCAGTTGTGAATTTGTGATGCATTCTTTTAGGAGTGAGGACCAGTCGTCTTCCATGTTTCCGGTTAGCAAAGCAAATTGTTTTTCAGAAAAAAACATTTAAGTAAAAATTTAAATATTTGTTAAGTGTGACAAAGTCTATAAACAAAATACTCTGTCCCACAGTTTTGATTACACCCATTTTGGTGTGTTTAGGACTTTAGGGTATAGATAAATTGTGAACCAAAAAGTATCCTTTATTTCTTTAGGGTAAGTATCATGTAACTTCACAGTTATCTTTAGGTCAAGTATTTATTCGGTCGAAAAAAAAAGTACGAACTTAAAAAATTGTTTTGGTTACTCAAAAAATTAGAATCAATTAGCCAATTTTTAATAGTTGTTATGCATTAATGCATGCATTGCATTTGTATCTGGTATCAAGTTTGAACATGTTAGCAATTAATGGACAAAGGTAAAACAGCGATGTAGTAACTAGTAAGAGTCGTCGTGGCCGTGGAAGCCACGAAACACCAGCTTCCGTGTACGATATATTTCTCTAGAGCTTCCTCTCTTCTCATTAGCTTTTAGCCTTTTATTCTCTGCTGTAGAGCTCCTTTTACTTTCTTAATCAGCTTTCACAAACTCTTTGACTGTAATAGTGTAATGCTTTCCTTGAATTTTAATTTGAAAATCTTATATAAAAAAATATATTCGAACTTCGAACTAGTTTTACTGACAGAGCCAAGAAGTGGTAACTAAATCATACTGTTCACTTTGATGATCGTTTAATTATGAAATTAATCACTACGTGAACTGGAAAATCCTTAGATTTTGATATTCTAATTATTGAAAATATGTAATATTGTTTCATTAAACATATACTATCACTTGGACCCTATTAACGCAAATTTAGTTTCTGTTTACATTTTGCATTTGCGTTTACAACTTTTTAAGCATGAATCAAATGTTCTGTTTGTTCTTCTACATACAAAGAGTGTGTGTATATATATGTGTGTGTGTGTGTTAAAAAACGAAATATTTATTTACTTTTAGTTGGTTTGCCTTAGACTTGATTGTCATTTGTCATCATAATGAACATAAAACTTATTCAATTGTGGTTGGCTTAAGTGCTTAACCGGTTAGAAAGATGCTAGAACACTATCGGACCCGAGTTTGAAAACTAGCTAGGTGCGCGATGAATAAGAAATTATTTATGCTTGTATCTAAAATATCTTCGTTATGAAATAAATGAACATATAACAAAAGTCCCCATATATAATTGAATAAATTACATTGACTCATTTCTCCATAAGAGATTATTCCAATTAAAGTAGCCAACATAGTAAAAAGACTACGACACGAGCTTTAGGGTTTATGCTTTAAAAGCAGCCACAAAAGCTAGATGCAGAGAGTATATATGAGGTCATATTACTATTCACACACACATAGATAGAACAAATGTGTGTGGATGTTGTATATGTAGACAAAGGTACAAGAATGCGCATGGCAAGGCAACGTGAGAGTGTGCATGAACTGTTCCTTCCACGTGTGAAACGTGAGCTGCGACCAACTTCCATGAGGTTGGCTCACGAGTGGGCCATTACGTGCCACGTTGTACCAATTTGTGGTCATAACCGTGGCCATGTCACACTTGCACTCTCTTAGCTTTTCACAAAGGCCAAAGAAACCAAAAGATGTCCTAGATAGAGATAAACTAAAGTTACCATTCGAATATATTAAATTTTCTTTTGATATTTCACTTGTCGTTTCTTGTCTCCAAGCATGTTTATAATCAATTCATTGTGGCGTGCCTTGATTATATATAAATTGTACTATGTGAATCTTCTTTTTTTGTCAGCAAAACGTATGTACATTAACGTCATATCAAGAATTGAGTCAGTGTCGTAATTAACAAAACGAAATGTAAGAGAACTGAGTTGACCCAAATAAACATATGTTAGAGAATTGAGTCAATCTTCACTCAACTCTATGATATAGTGTTTTTGACCTCATTACATTTTTTTTTGTTCTCTAGATCATACTTTTTGACATGAAAATTCCTAATAATAATTAGATTGGACATAACCAAAATTTCGTAATTCCGTCTGAATATTTATCTTTTGAATATATAACTTCAAATATATAACCCCACAAAATGCTGTACGACCAATGTCGTTGTATTTGATTATTATTCTCGGGAATAAAATGGAAGATGAGAACACGGTAAACCTAGAACTGCTCTATAAATAGAGGTCATTTCATGAATTCTATATCTGCAAACCAACTCTAAAAATCCACAAGTAAATCAGAAACAAACAAAACCCTAATTAAAAATGGCAGTGATGAGTCAAAACAACGTAGAAGGCAGGCTATACGAGTCAACTCGGACTCCGCAGACTCCTTACTCACAAACTGGTGGCCAAGAGAACGGAGGAGACGATGACGACGACGATTGTGACGTGGCTCCGGCGGCTTGATCATGTGCATTTTATAGTAGGCTATCATAAACTCTAATAACAGATTAAAATAGTAATTGTGGTTCATGCTATAGAACCACAAACACACACATATAGCTGAAGTAGTATGCCTGTATTTATCCATGTCGCAACCAGGCTTTATTTATTTACTAGATACACAACATTTTTGACTTTGGAGTGTTGAGACTTAGCTAGCTTAATTTACGTATTAATATAATGTATCGTGTGTCAATTACTTATTAAATAATAAAATTATGTTACATGATGTACACAGAATTTGTGGTTGTAAAATTGACATTATCTATACATATACATGATGTACTTATGCAATTCTCATCTTCCTTTGCTCAGCGCCTCAGCCTTTTGTTGTCCCTACCTCTCCGAATTTTAGTAAATTAATATATATGACTCAAATGTGAGGTATATTAAGAAATTGAGTTGTCAAAACTACTTGAGCTTGTTTGTAAATAAATACGTACAACTGATGTAAATCTTTATTTTTTTTCTTCTTTTTGAATATTGTTAATTTCTTGAACAGCTGTTAACCAACTCTAATGACCAGTGATGATCATTGATGGAAGAGGCTATATATTGTGTCGCACGACGTGGCTCATCGATCAATAGGTCTCCTAGCGAAAGATTTGATGAACCTGCTGGTCAAGCATCAGTTGATAAAAAGCATTCAGCACCACAATGTTTCTCCAAATCAGTAAGTACATTTCTGATTTAATTTGGAGTTCTTGCAGTGCGATAACTATATTGAGGTTTCATCATCGCGGGCTTAATACTATTAAGGCCGTATGAGCATTATTTTTAGGCCTCTATAATTAAAAATGTTTTCATTTATTTTAAGTTTTCACATCATTGCTCAAAACACACACTTCATGAGGTATATGAAGCATTGGAATGTCTTCCCTCAACAGCCGCGCCCACTCCATTGATGGTGTGCCGTGATAGAACTGACCTACATTGATGGTTTCAATTGTAGTTGTACTATACAATGAGAGAAACCAGCCAGGTAGGTAGTCTTTGGTTTTTGCTTCATTTTTTTCAAGAATTGTTTTTTTTTGGGACCATTTCTCGATTTTCTCAATAGCGTTCCAAGTTTCAATTTGATTTTTGTTTCTATTACCATCTGATGTTTCTTTGTTTTGTTACACAATTCTGTAGGAATCATTTTTATGCATTCTTTTCAAAATCTATATTAAATCATGAGAGATCTCCAATTACAGCAGGGACCAATATTGTTAAACCAAGCCACGTACAGTCATATCAGCATTGTTTAGAAGAACTGTTACTGAAACTACAAAAGTGGCCATATGATATATAGTGTATTAATGTTTTTCCTTGCCCGATCCAAATATGTTTTGCAGGGGGATCGAGTATTCAGGTACTGAGGTACACATCTAAGCTGTTTCTTTCTTACACTGAGAAATATGTGGTCTTTTTCTGAAAGTTACTAATTTTAGAATTCATTATTTATACGGAAATTTTGAGAATCATGCCTTAAATTCTGTTTGTTTACTATTTTTTTGAACTGAATGTAAAATTTTATATCAACTCAAAAGATTGTTCTTACATCAAGTGCATCATTTGTTTGAGAGCTATTTAGAATGATGATATTCTATTTTTAAAGTTAAATGATGCTATGCATGTTTATTATTTGGTCAAAATTTGCAAATGCTAAGGTTCGAATAGTATCCTCACATATAGTAACGAAGCTCATGATACTTGTGTTTTAAGATTAAGATATCAAATTCATTGTATTGTCCATCAACTTTTTTTTTTGCAATGTTGGAGAAGCTTAAAAACAAGAGACATATTTATGATGGAATAGTTGCTGAAAAGTAGAAGATGTTCAGGAAGGAGGTAAAGATGAGAGACGCTGAAAATGAAAATCTTAAGGTGGAGTTCAAGAAAGTGCATGCATAGAACGAAGTGATAAAAACCTATATGGTAGAATCTCTTCTAGATCTATTTTTGGCTTTCGATTTTAGATGATTCGACATTTTGTGATTGATGATTTGATTTGCACTTGATAGTTTGATTCGTTTAGCATGCATGGCTAATGGCTTGTTTGATACAAATGTATTAAAATGTTATAGTTTAGTTAGAGTTTGATACAAATGTTTTGCAACAACTAAAGAAAGAAGGTTTCGCAATTAAATAAAGGGTCAAAAGCAGAAGAAATGGATCTAACATTATGAAAAAACTCCGGGAAGCATCATAGAGCATTGGTGATTTTCACGTACTTTTGGATTTGTCGATACTAAAAACTTGGATCAACATAATTATTATTTCTTCACAAGAAATTATTTCTTGTTTCAAAGCTTGCACCAATTAACTCACACTTTGTTAATTAAAAAACTTGTTATGACAAAAGATTTTAAACTTGCAAGGACTTCCATAGAGTTTTAAATCATGTAAACTTGTTACGACAATAGATTTTAAATTTGCAAGGACTTCCATAGAGTTCATGTACTTTTCGAATCTATTACAAAATTAGGTGATTTTCTCGCCGTAGAACTAACTGTTTTTTTTTTTTCAAAAAAATTGATAATACTAATTTATTCAAAGATGAATAATCAGGTTAGTAATTGTCATACTTGGATGAAACACAAGTACACAACTGTTATTTTTTTGACAAGAAATAGATTCCATTAAAATCATGAGCTTTTTCGAGTTTTATTACAAAACCGAAGTTTATAAAAGCGTCAACATTTGATACTTCACATCCATTATGTATGGCCGGAGGCCCAAACAGCGTTTATTCTTTTTAGTTCTCACGTGCGTTGACAAAACAATCACGTGCAAGCTATCTTCTTCTTCTTCTCCTACAATAAACCCTACTTCCGGTGTCTGTCTCTGTTACCGTTTGCAATTCCTCAGATCAGATCTTGCCTACAATTTTAGCCGGAGCTTCTTCTCCAAGTGGAAGTCGTGACAACCCATGACATCCAAATTTACAAAACTCAGCGGTCAATTCATCGGCAGATTCACCCGTCCCACAACCTCTCCTTCTCCTCATCACACTGATTTGGTCCAAAAGGTTTCGATTTTAAAAACCGAGCTTTTAACGAAAGGCAACACAAAAGAAAAATTCGAGAGCGTTTTGGATCAGAACGGACAGTGGCTCTTTACAAGCTATCGTGATGGAGCTGGAATCGTCGAGCTTATGGATCAACTCTTTCCTCATCCTTACTTGGCTCTTCAGGTTTCATTCCACCCTCTGTTTTTTCCAAAAAATTTCGAATCTTTCACCTACCCAATCTCTAAAAATTCATACTTTGATCGTATAAGATTGAATTGGATTGGTGTTAATGGTGTTATTGATGTTAGGTTTTAGAGTGGAGGAGAAGACAATTGGATTGTTGCATCCCTTTGACATCGGAAGAGTATGCAAAAGGAATCAAAATCGCCGGTCGAGCTAGAGACACGAACCTCGCGGTGTATCTTTTCAACGAGGCGGCTAAGAAACGAATCCAGACGACGTCGGTTTACAATGCCCTGATGAGTGCTTACATGTGGAACGGCCTCGCCGAGGAATGCCAGTCGCTTTTCAGAGATTTCAGGAGGCAAACGCATTGTGCTCCAACCATTGTGACTTACAATGTTCTTTTATCAGTCTATGGACGACTTCTGATGGTAAAGAACATGGAAGCAGCTTTCGAAGAGTCACAAAGACTGAACCTTTCGCCAAATTCCGCTACTTACAACTGTTTGATTGCTGGTTATGTGACTGCTTGGAATTGGGGTAAAATGGAAGATACTTTTAGAGAAATGAAGATGGGTCAAGTCGAGCCTGACACTGACACGTATCTGCTGATGCTTCGAGGGTATGCAAACTCAGGGAGTTTGGAGAAGATGGAGGAGATTTATGAGTCGGTTAAAGATGAGGTTGGTGTGAACAGAGGTCAGTTAGTCAGAGCTATGATCTGTGCGTATTGCAAGAAAGGTGTTGAGGATAGAGTTAAAAAGATTGAGAATTTACTGAGTCTTCTCTCTGGTGAGGAGTATTTTCCTTGGCTGAATGTGCTTTTGATTCGATTATACGCTCAAGAAGACGTTGTGGAGGCGATGGAGAGTAGAATCAACGAGGCGTTTGAGAATAAGACGTGTGTTAACAAATCGAGTATCATGAGGGCAATCATCGCAGCGTACTTCAGGTGTGATCAGGTTGATAGTCTCGCGAGTTTCATCAAGCGTGCAGAGTTTGCTGGATGGAAACTGTGTAGGTCTCTCTACCACTGTAAGATGGTGATGTATGGCTCTCAGAAACGGTTTGAAGAAATGGAAGGTGTTGTGAATGAGATGGAAGAGACTAGTTATGGGCTTGTTACGAAAACGTTTACGATCATGTATAAGGCTTATAAACAGCATGGGATGGAGTCTAGTGCTGAGAAAGTGATGGGGAAGATGCTGAAACATGGGCTTTTATATATTCCAAAAACTCATCTAACTCAAGATGCACCTCAAATTGTGTAACATTGTTTTGATTTGTTCAGTGTCTTTGTCAAGTGTGAGCTCTGACCTAACAGAGTATGCAAAAAGGTTAGTGCTGTTTCTGCCTTTGCATAAGTCTCATGTTTATAGTGTAGCAGGGTGTTGTATTTAGCATTTGGTTTCTTTTCTTTGGTCTATCAGGCTTCCAAATCCCTCGCTGGAGTTTTGAGATGCGACTAAAGCACCTTTGTTTCCCATCCATGAGTGATTGGATCAGCATTATCTTGCCGCCAGAGTTTGGAAGTTTGATGGCAGATATTGATCCTGTTGGTGGATGAGAAACCTCAGTAAAACAAAACCTTTAAGAGCCATGTAGAACATTGCCTGCATTGTCTGGATATTTTTTTAACCCTCTGTGACAGCTGATAGGATTGGAAGAGCTATGCTTTTCTTCTTTCTTGAGAGAACGTAGGCAAAGTGAAGTTGTTTGTTGAGAAAGTTGACCAATGGTGCTATGGGGTTCTCTTTCTCCCAGCTCTGGGTCCAATTTCCAGGCTGTCCTAAGTTCAGCAAAATCAAAATGATGTTGTTAGGATATCAACATTCTTACATTCTCTTTCTTACTGCTCTGTTATTTTGCTTGAGCCTTGTTCGTAATTTTGAAGAAAAGAGATATCTCAGTTACACCGATGTTTCAGTATAGTGAGGAACTCATTTGCTAATGTACAACATATTCACAAGTTCTTCTCACGAATAAGACATGAGCTTTTAACCTTATTCGAGCTCTTTGTTTCTTTGTCATTCAATTCTTCGTATCACTCTAAATATGTACAAAGATTTACGAGCAATAGCTTTGTGAAAGTTGAAAAGTGAAGGTGTCATCACAAGAATAGGCTAACAACCAGAGAAGGTTAAACATCCTTTCTTGATCCATTTTTTTATACAAGGCACAATGAAGAAGAAGACAACAAAGAAATTAACAGAGCAATGATTTTTGATTCAGTTAGTTTCAACTTTCAAGCAACACTGAAGGAAGTAGCAGCATTCTCGACAAACTTCCTGGCGCCTTTGAACCACCTCTTGTCTCCTGCCTGTGCTTTGCAGATGTAAAGCTTCCCTCCATTCATCTCCATCAGCAGTTCTTGTCAAAACCGACAAGTAATAATAGTAATGTTTCCCACCTATCTCTTGTGCGGATGATTCAAGAATATTTGCAGTTGCCATTGCATTTGCATCAAACTCTCCCAGTAGAAAGATCATTAACACTCTTTGAGGTTCTTGTTCTTATGTACTAACTTGAAAATGCGAGTTCGTGAAAGGGAAATAACCTCAGAGGCTGTTTCGCCAAACTAAGCTTGCTTTCCAAGGAGACAATTGACCTACAGAGAGAAACCAAATACATAATCACATCAGCTGTGTTGATTCCCATCTGATTAGATTTTTGTTGTTGTTGTTGTATGAACAGAGCTGAAACCTGAGAAAGAAACTCTTCAGGAGAACCGTAATCAGTGATGGATTTCTTGTCTGTAGGAGTGACCATAACAGAGACATTACTGGTGGCGTCGAAGTTGTCTTCGTACCTCAGGAGTTGTCCTGGATACTCAATTTCTTTGCTTGGGTTCCACTTTGATGGGATCTCGATTTTGAACCCTTCTCCCGTGTAAGGCATGAAGTCTGTGTTCGTCAGGGAAAGGCTCAAGAGGTGGTTCAAAGAAACTTGGATAGATTGGGATGTGGATGATCAGCATTTGAAGAGAAAGTTTGGGTATGCAAAGCAGGCCAGATTGTCAAGTCCAGGAAAGTTGAAATCCACCAGTCATAGAGACTCCTCTTTCCGTGGTGGTTTGGAACCTTCTTACAATTGGTTTGCAGAAGGATTTACATCTGCAGGCATAAGCTCAGGTCTCTCTCTCTTTCTTTCTGAAACCTCTTCACTTGCTTGTCCGATGAGGATGATGATGAACAAGACTATGTAAACTGTTTATCAGTTAATCAGAAATCTAGACTAGCAGGAAACATCTGCGGGTTTGAGAGTGACACGTTATCAGAGAACGAAAATGAGCAAAGCAAAGAAGTGAATCACCCAAAAAATCAGGGAGATGAGACCTCATCATCCGTTGCAAAGAGCCTCTCAGACGAAAATGAGTATGTACGGTGAACATTTTGTCACGCTCTTCTCTCTGTGTTCTTCACTTGTATCCATACTTAAATCCAATGCCCCTAAGTCCCTGAAAAGGAGGTCATGGAAGCTACGCATCAAGTAAACAGAGGTAAATGAAATGTTGTTTCCTTTAAAGATTATCAAAGACTAATATTTGTTGATTACTAGTTTTGTTATCACAATAAGCTAACACACGAATCTTGAGATGGAATCAGGAGAAATGGCTAATAGGGACTCGTTCCAAGAAATGATATTGCTGGAAAGACTTACGCTTCAACTCGTTTGTTTAAACAAGACATTGCTATAATGTATTCATATCCGTATAATGGTGATACCTAAGCCCTAAGGAAGAGATACAAATTGATACCTAAGGAAGAGATACAAAATTAGAGTTTAAAGATTAAAACACTGATTAACCAAATCTACAGGAACGATTCAAGCTGTGATCGGACTAAACTGGATCTCTTCTTCGTTCAAATAATCTCCAATATCGATCATGCAAGCCTCCTCTTCTTCGTTCAAATAATCTCCAATATCGATCATGCAATCCTCCTCTTCAGTGTTGGTGTTCGCCTGAGGGTTGTTACAGAAGTCGCTATAAGAACCGAACACGTTGTCGACGTCGTTCAAGAATTGATCCCAAAAGCTCTCATCATGACACTTAGATGATGACTCGCCTTGTATCCCTGTAACAGAGGAGAAGTTAGGGTTTTGATCAAAAGCAGCTACTTGAGAAGAAACGATCTGGTCAAGACAAGAGTAAGAGGAATTCCGATCAAAAGAAGCAATTTGCGAGAAAGACGGAGGCGACAAGTTAGGGTTTTGATCGAGATCAGAGACGAGTTGGGAAGAAGACCCGGAACAAGAAGCAGGGGTTTGATCGGAATTAGAAACAAGTTGTTGTTTTTGTTTCTTCTCAAGACAAGCCATAACATCTGCCTTCATTCGCTCAAGACGATCCTCCAAGATATTCAATTCGGAGATATCGTCACAGTTATGGTAGAGATCAGGGTCTTCCCACAGAAACCCTACCTTGGATTGGGGGTTACTAATCTCGGGAGGAGGCTTGCCGTTGAGGTAGCGATCGGCGATCTCGTAGGCAGAAGAGTAGCCGGAGAAGGAGTAGACGGCGTCGTTACTCTCGGCGGGAGAAGTCACGAAGACGGCGATGCTGGCACCGGAGAGACGACAAAGATTGGCCGCTTTGGAGAAGACGGTTTTACGGCGTCTATTGCAAGCCAAGGATCGTTGTTGCTTCGTCTCGCGTTTCTCGATTGGGATCTTTCGCTTTGTTCCTCTAATTTTCATCATTCTGCAACCAAATACAACACTTGACGGCTTTGTTTCTTTCTTGCTGATCAAAGAGAGAGAGAATGGAAGAGAGATAGAGAGAGAGTGTGTGTGTGTGTGAAGCACGCAAATATATATAGGCAGCGGCTGAAACTACACTATGCGGATTGTTAAAATTCAGGTGAATAATGGGCTTCCAAGTTTACTGCAATTTAGAATTGATAATGGGCTTCGTAAGGCCCATGATTTCGTGCTTAGTAATAATGGTTAACTCACTCGCAGCGGGAAACAAAAATTACGAAAAGTTTCGAAAATTTTGAGAAGACCGTTCGCTCGCTGCATCGTCTTTGATCAGTCGCGCACCACAAAGCTCATCGGATTCATCGTTATTGGAATTCGTCGTTGCTGTGTAGCAGCATTATCAGTTTTCCCAAATCGTTTCGATGCTCCAAACTCCATTTCCGGGACGCGATTCAGGCGATTCAGCTACTGTCGAATCCTCTCGAATTTCTTAAGTATCTCTCTTTCTCCTCTCTCAATTTTTTGTTTTATTAAAGGATTTTCGTAGAAATTTCACCTAGATTCGTCGGGGTCTAATCTTAGATTTTGGATTGGAAATTTCTAGTTATGGAATTGATGCGTCGAATTGTTCGTGGTGACGATTGAAATTCTAGTTTCGAAATTTCTGTGCAGTCGAACAGCTAAGAATTGTTACGAATGCTGCAATGGATGGGAGGATCTAGGCGGAAAGTGGCCGCTGTGAGTGACTTTTACTTCTTCGTTTTAGTGATTCGATTTTTTGGTTTGGGATTAGCTCAGATTCAGAGATCCATTATAACTGCGAAGTTGAAACCTCTGGGTGTTGGGACTTTGGGATGGTAGCGTAATTTTCTTAGACGCACAAAAAGTTTATGTTCTTCCAAATTAACTTTAGATGATAAAATTTGTGTTGATTCTGACTTGTTGATTGTTTTATTGGCATCTCTTGGGGCATTCAGTCAAAAAGAGGTGTGTAAGCTTTTAATTCTTTTTCTCGTTGATGATGTGATGTCGTCGTAGACATTTGGTGCTCACACTTTTTTATCTTTGAAAACCTGAAGGCAAAAGCATTACTTTGAGCAGAGGAGGCAGCAACAGCATCAGGCCACTGCCACTCCTGAGGGCTGTGCTAATGATAGAAACAGTAGTAATCAACACCTAAGGGAACACCAATCTTTGGATATTCTTAATTTGCTCAACTTGTCAACCGCAACTCCTGAATGCAAACCTTGTTATCCAGAACATGGTAAGATTTCCAGTTATCGTTCTGAGTGTGTGTGTTATAGTTTCCAACATAATTGGAGTCAGTTTATGGACTGTTTACTTGCATATTGCTCTGAATCATGACGTTTTGCCTTCTTGTTGTTTGTGTCACTTGTTAACAAGAAAAGGAATGGAAGATCTAGATGCTGATTTCTACAGTCTCAAGGACAGAATTTCCGGAGTAAGTAAGGTCTCCCAACCCATGGTCTATGATGCAGGAAGTTCATCAAACCATAAAGCAGAACCTTCTTCCTCAAAGAGGCAAGTCAACTTTTCTTTGCTTTGCTTTCGTGTAATGTCACTGCTCAAGTTTTATTTCTCAACATTTACATCCTCTTGTCTTTTGGCTAATGAAACTGCATATCTTATACTCCCTCCGTTTCAAATTAGTTGTCGTTTTTGCAAAATGTATCTGCAAATATTTGGACTTATCTGTAATGCAAAACACGTCCAGATACGTCCAAATATTTGCAGATACATTTTGCCAAAACGACAACTAATTTGAAACGGAGGGAGTATGAAATTTGGTGATTCACTGTCTTATAGGACTTCGTTTTGTCTCCCTGACAACCAGACAAGTGATTTCAAGAAAGCAAACACCACAGCAGATCTGATGGATGGCATAGAGCTGAGTAAGGAATCACTACTATATAGAAACTAGAAAAGTTTACTGTATTCTGTTTCCCATTCTGATACATAGAGTTAGCATCTGTATCATACTGGTTTGACTTCCAGTTCACTGTATGCTTATCCGAATTTTAGCCATATTACATTCTTACATTCACATGCTCCTTTGTTATTTTGGCTTGAGCCCTATTTTCTATTTTTGAAGAAAAGAGATAGCTCAGTTACACCGATATTTCAGATAGCTCATTTGTTAATGTACAACATCTTTACAAGCTCTTCTCAAGAATAAGCCATGAACATTCAATCTTCTTTGTGAGCAATAGATTTATGAGCAATAGCTTTGGACTTTGTGATAGTTAGAAACTGAAGGTATCATCACAATAGGCTAACAACCGGAGAATTGGTTTTGCTTACATATAGAAGAAGACAACAAAAAAATCAGAGCATTCCATTAACGTTTTTTTGTTCAGTTAGTTTCAACTTTCAAGCAACACTGAAGGAAGTAGCAGCATTCTCGACAAACTTCCTGGCGCCTTTGAACCACCTCTTGTCTCCTGCCTGTGCTTTGCAGATGTAAAGCTTCCCTCCATTCACAGTAGCTGTGATCAGCTGGTGCTTCCCACCTTCATCTCCATCAGCTGTTCTTGTCAAAACCGACAAGTAATAGTACTGTTTCCCACCTATCTCTTGTGCGGATGATTCAAGAATGTTTGCAGTTGCTACTGCATTTGCATCAAACCCTCCCTGCAGAAAGATCATTAACACTCTTTTAGGCTCTTGTTCATATATAGTAACTTTAAAATGCGAGTCCGTGAAAGGGAAATAACCTCAGAGGCGGTTTCGCCAAAGTACGCTTGCTTTCCAAGGAGATAATTGACCTGCAGAGAAACCAGAAACATGATCACATCAGCTGATTACATTTTTTTTGTTGTTGTAACTTGTAAGAACAAAGCTGAAACCTGAGAAAGGAACTCTTCGGGAGAACCGTAATCAGTGATGGATTTCTTGTCTGTAGGAGTGACCATAACAGAGACATTGCTGGTGGCGTCGAAGTTGTCTTCGTACCTCAGGACTTGTCCTGGATACTCAACTTCTTTGCTTGGGTTCCACTTTGATGGGATCTCGACTTTGAATCCTTCTCCCGTGTAAGGCATGAAGTCTGTGTTCGTCTTTGGCTTGCCAAATACATTTGCTGCAACATGCAATCAAGAAAATTGCTTCAAGATGCTCTCATTGATATGATCGAGGTATGAGTTTTTTTTTATACGTTTGGGATCGTACCGGCTTCACCATAGGCGGCATCAGCAGGAGAGACTTTGGATCCGACGGCAGCAGCACCGACGAGGAAGGTGAGGGCAAGACGGCGAGAGATGGCAGAGTTCACGTCTTCCTGAGACTGTTGTTGAGCTCTACATGCTAAATGGACGGGTCTAGAGAAGGACACATGGCGAAGCGAAGAAGATCGTGCGGCGGAGGAGACAAGTGCACTCTGGTGCAAGAAGCACGCGCTGTAGGCCATTCTCTTTTCTCTCTCTTTCTTTCTTGTTTTTCAACCTGAAGAAGAGTCGAGACCAAAGTGTTTTTAAAGTAGCAAGTTGATGTGAAAGATTGTTCATTGGCTTGTTTTGGATTTTGGACTTTTGGGTCATCTTCTGTTTTGAATGTTGCGAATTACGATAAGGTTGTATAGGTGCTTCATCCTGCCACGTAGCAATGATGAATTTATGCACTAGTTGTGATCTCAATTGACGTGAAATGAAACTGCTAGAAGAGTCTTTATAAGCAACTTACCACAATACTCTAGAAACTGTCACAACATGAAGCCGGTTAAAAGTCCGGTTCATGGTCAAATTAAATAAAACCCTTGGCCCAAAAGAACCGAACCACCAAACTAAACCGGAGAGGAACTATCCAAACCCCATAAATTGTTTATGAATCACTTTCGCACCCTTTATGGGACCCAAACCCAAAACCTTGGCTCTTCCTCTTCAAGCATTTCCCTTCTGTTCTGGTTTGTCTTCACGTTGTCTTTTATGGAGATCTATCTTTGGAACATACATGTCTTTCTTCTTACCCGAATCCGAGTTGTTGGGTGCTCTGTTCTTGATTTTCTTACTGCTTTGATGTTTAGCCATTGATGCAGCTGCTTCTCTTGGAGCCGTGTTTGGTTGCTGATTCCCATGGCTCTGGCCAGTAGGCATGTTCTCTTTCTTGTTACCCAAACCCGAACTGTTGGCTGATTTGTGCTTTGATTGATTAGCAGTAGATGCAGCTTGAGGTTGGTGAATCCCATTGCTGTGATTAACCAACATTTTCTCTTTTCTCTTACCAAAATCAGCATTGTTGGCTGATTTGGGCTTCCTTTCCTTATTGTTTTGCTGCCTAGCTTCTGTATGAGCCGCATTGAATTCATGATGTCGATTCCTATTCGCGTGGCTAGAAGAAGGTTTGCTCTCTTTCAGACTCAGAGACCAAAAGAGAGAGTTGAGGAAAGAGTTTGGATTCTCTTCCCATCCTCCGGTATCATACGTCTCAGTCCTCGAATGTTTTCGTCCCATAGACTGCGATGAAGATGAAAGTCCCGCGTGACCATCATATGAGAGAATACAAGCTATTGCATACATAGAAGCTCCGAGATGAGGCGGCAAATGTTCCCGTGGATGTCTTACCTATAAATTCCCAAAAAAGGAAATCAAATTAAGAAAAATCCTTCAAGTATGGAGTAGTTTCAACAAGAACAGATTCATAAACTTACTTTGAACAAAATGGATGCTGTTAGTCGCTCCCGCAAAATGTACATTTGAGCAACTTCAAGGGCTGTGGTTCTGAAAGGCAGCCACCGATCCACTACCAACTTGACTGAGTTTTCAGGTGAAGACATCATTTTCTGCCCACGCCTACTCTCTGCTTTATGTATATCCATACCTTCTTCATTACTATTATCTCCTTCTTCTTCTTCTCCTGTTTCTTCATCATCTTCTTGTTCTTCTTCGTCATCACTATCATCAGCATCAACGTTCTCTGTAGGAGCTACAGCTATCTCTGTTGAGACCAGTAACAACGGAAGATCGCGAGCAACAGTACAGTTTCTTATGTGCATGCCTCCATCTCCACGTGTGATCTCATCGAAAACAACTAAAGATTCATCATACTTCCTCGAGGACAAGTTGAAGTTGTTTGACAAAGAATGCACACGAACTTTGGCACCACTAGCAGTCTCTACTAAAGACCTTCGATTATTACCAAAAGATGGGCACAACCTTGCCACCATAGGATACAATCCTACTGCTAGGACAGCACGGAGTATACCGGGGTCACGCGAATTCTGGCTACAGCTTGAGATGTCACCAGGAATAATCCCGTGTCTTTTAAGTTCTGACTCAAGTTGGCTACGCATTTGATCCAACATCTTCATTGCACTTGGGGAGACAAAGTACTGAGAGCAAAACTCTGCCGCAAGACCTCTTTCTTTTGCGTTTCTCCAGCACTCAAAGGCAGCAACAACCGCTAGGTGATCACTGTCACCTCCACAAAGTGACGCAAGTTCAAGTTTCGCAGCAGCAGCTTTCTGTTTTTCAACTGGCGACATAGGCATGGTAAACGGTTCCTTGTAGTCGGCTGCACATGCCAGAGTAAGTGCTGGATCCAGACAGTTTACTAATACAGCGAAGAAAAGCATTTTGCTTATCAGAGGATGAACTGGGAGATGCCCAAACTTCTCTCCAAGTTCTGTCAGCTCTTCCTCAGGGGTCAGGGCCCCAATGTCTTGCAGGATGCTCAAGGCGTTTGCAATACTTTGATCAACAGGCGGGTCCAACAGTTTCTGAAGGAAATCATTTGTTTTACAATTTGGATCGAGTATCTTAACCTGAAAATAATATCCAAGTCTGATGATCAGTAAAAGACTCTGGCTCACCTCATAGAGCTAACTGCTATTAACAACAAATGAAATGAAATGAGCAGTACCTGTAAGCAGAGTTCTTCTACTGGCATCCTCTTAATTTCAGGAACTTTAAATTCTGGCATAGAGGCTGCCCGAAGTCTAGAATAAAGATGATAACAAATCCCAGGCTGGCAACGGCCTGCTCGACCTTCACGCTGCTTTGCATTTGCTTTTGATACCCAAGAAGATTGGAGGGTTGAAACATTATTGTAAGGATCATAGCTCTTTTCCTTCATCCGGCCACTATCTATCACATAAACCACATCATCAATGGTAACTGCTGATTCAGCTATATTTGTTGCAAGCACGATTTTGCGGCAACCTCGAGGAGGGCGAGTGAAAACTTTCTTCTGTTCCCCTGCTGGAACCATTGAGTGAAGACATATGATGTCGAATTTAGTACTCTGTGCGAAGAACGGGTTATCAAGTAATCTCTGTCTTGTCTTATTTATATCATCCCATCCAGGTAAAAAAACAAGAATGGCACCATCTTCTGAATCACCACATATTTTCCTCATCAACTGTTGTATAAGACTCACATCGACCTGCTCTGGGTTGATCGTCGCCATGTACTTATCAAGTAACTGTTGAGCTTGCTGAGAATTAGACTGGGAATTTTCTGCGTGCTCCCTGATTATTTGAGCAGCTTCTAGTTGATTCTCTGTTTCGGCCAATTCTAATGCTGCCATACCTTCTTTAGACTTTAAGTTCCAGTCTGCGCCAAATGAGAGGAGCATGCAGACATCGCTGATCAAGCCCTTTCCAGCAAAGACCATTAGTGGTGTTAGCCCTGTTGATTGGTGCTGATAATTGTAGATCTCATGGCTTCCTCGAGAAGAAACTAGATCTAAGAGGGCATCGAACTCATCATTTGTCCAAGCCAAGATGATTGCTTCATCTAAAGCAAGTTTCTCTTCATCAGTCAAAGCAAGCTTCTGCTCTGGTATTCCCAAGTTGGCAGAGGAGTTTAGATGATTATCTCCGCCTGACTTCAGAATAGAGAGCACATCCTCCAAATATAAGGTTCTCACCTGTAGGAACAAAACAAGGAGGTTATACTGGGGCATAATAGACTTACCAGGTTTGAGAGAGAGAGAGTAAAAGAGAAATTAACTGGATAAGTGAATCCAGGGACACGGACGACAGGGCAACCTCCAAAATATCCCGAAAATCTCTCAGCATCAAGCGTAGCACTCATTAGAATCTGTTGGTCCAGAAAATTTCAAAAAATCAGCCGAGTAATACTGTTGTCAGGCCATACTCAAAGACATTTATATAGTCCTCAAGACCAGTTATCACAGGTTCTTGGGCCATGTACACAATTTTGTCGCTATTATAAGACCGTTACTTCACAAAAACAGCTATGGAAAGAGATTTGTTCGTAAATTTTGCTGTGACTTCTTTTACATTTTAAAAGCAGAGGGAAAAAGACGACTGTAAAGATATAAAACATATCCTGTCTCTTTTCGTATCCTACAAATGATGATAAAAACTAAATTAGGGTGAATATAGAAATCCACTCTAATCATTCCCTTCCCTCCTCTATTAAACTAAACGACAAAAGACGGTAGCAAATCCATCTTACTTTTCTTCTCTTGTTAGAAGTGAATTATAATAGTAAAAGCAAAGAAGAACAAAGAACTTAACTAACCAGACGGAGATGGGGATTTGACGGAAGCAAGTCCCTACAGATTAAAAAAAAAGTATTGCAAATTAGCTTGAGTTCTGCCATTCACTCAAATATCATAGCTTGCAGCTTCAGAGAAGTTAAATGCATGTGCACAAGTATGGCATATAAATTGTGGTGGCTAACAATTAAAAATAGCCTTAACATCCGTTTCTTAGGCCACGTAGATGATTAGTTTGATAAACACGTTGATAGGTTGAGAGACTCAATATTTGAGAAAGCTAGGTAGTCTACCTTATAATTGCCAACATGAAATCGGAGTAGCAATCCCTTTCATGGATTTCATCCTACAAAGTAAACATTCAGGTCACTATTAGTGTAGACAACCACAGAATATGATATGACAAACAATATGAAGAAGGTATGCTACAGTGACCGTTCACAATTTCATTATTACCACTTCTTCAAGCAATTTAATTGTCAGACGAAGCACATCATATATATGAAACACAAACTTAATGAACACATGATAGCGGATTAAGCAAGATGTCAAGTACCACAATGATGTGAGTTATGTCGGATACATAGCTAGCAGAGCCTTTGCCAACAAGCACCCTAAGGAGGATGCCATTCGTGCAGAAAACAACTGATGAGTGTCTTCCACCTTTGCTTTGCAGTCGAACCTGGAGTTGCAACATAAAGTCAATGGTGCACTTGTCTATAATATTCAAACACAACAACCATTCATGTACAATCGCAAGTGTCAACCTACAAAGATTACTGACCTTGTAACCAATGTTTTCTCCAATGCTTTCGCCTCTTTCACAGGATATCCTTTCAGATACTTCAAAATAGGAACCAAAAACATTAAGCAAGGGATTAGAAGATTACAGCATACATGAGCATTGGACCAAATTTTTAACAGATCAACGAGAATAAGTAGCTAAATAAGAAAAATACCAACCTGACATAGCGGAGATACGACGAGGTTGGGTGCAAACAATTTTACAAGTTTCTCTTTTGTTTGACCACATATGGTCTAAAAGATATTGAGGGACCTAAAACATTCACAAGGAAAGCACATAAGAAACCTCGAGAATGAAAAGATTGAGGGAAATTTCAAACGGAAAACTTTTTCCATGGACAATATCACATTCCAGACTCACATTTAGCAAAACCTTATAACACAACATACTTTTAAAATTTAAAGTTGCATAAACTGGACAAGAAAGTTGACAGCCTGACCATCGATCCAAGGGATGAATAACTAATATTTGTTAAAAAAATGATTCTATTGAACCGAACTAAGAAAAAAACAAGGGGCAACACACACCTGAGTAGTTTTCCCGCAACCAGTTTCACCAGAAATGAGAATAACCTGCATTTAGAGTAAGAATATGCAATGAACTCTTTTTCTAGCAGTTGAAATCACCACTGGAAGCATAATATATAAAAAAAAATCACAGAACCTGATTGGATTCCACCGCAGATGTAATTGCCTCTCTAAAAGATGTGATGGGAAGCTTTGACCGCAGCTTAGAGATCTGCAACATAAACCAACAAAAACAACTTCATTTTCACTTTCCCCTACTTGTCATGAATCATAACTTCTCAACCAGAAGAGCTTTTATCTTTTCTAACCTCCTGAAGAGCTTTATCCTTCCTAAGCCTAGAACTCAGAGATGCCACTTTCTCAAGGATCTCTTCACTGCTACTTTTCGGTTTCCGGAAAAAATCATCGTTCCACTGCCCTTGTTTACCGGATTTCCCAGAGTACTTGTTGAATGACGTTGCGGCAGTGTCTCCGTCACAAGGCGGGTAGTGAGTAAACAACTCCTGAAGAATAGCATCTGCCTCCGGCGGAAATGACACACATTTAAGCTTCTCTCTATTTGATTTCTCATCTTTCTTTCCATTTTTGTGCCTGCCTTTATATATCGAAAGCCGCCTTTGATCCCCACGCCTATAATCATATCCAAAAGACTCTCAAGGTCGTATACTTTCTCAAACCAGAAAACACTATAAAGCACAATGAAGGCAGTGACTCACCCGGAACTTTTCGATTGAATACCCATTTTCCGGCACATCTGATGAATTACGCCACGCTCGCTATTTGAAAGATTATGCTCAAACGTGTAAACTACACAATGCAATAAAATTCAATCAAATTTAATTAGGAAAAAAAAAATCGAAATTTCAATCGAACAGTTTAAAACATTCGCAATTTGGAGCGTTGTATAATCAATCTTCAGGCTCAAAGACATATAAATCAGTTTAATCGGAAGAAGACTTCGTTTCCCGGAGATAACTCACCTTCGTTCCCGGAAGCTCGAAAGTCGTCGATGACCTTGGACGCCCAAATTCTAGTAGCTTCGACGGAAGTTGGCTTCCCTGCATTTTCAGCCCTGAACCTCTTGTTCCCCATCGCTTATTTAGGGTTTTGCTCTGTCTGTCTCTGTACCTGAGGAAACACTAGAGAGCGAAGAAACGGTACGGCTTCTGAGATTCAGGGAAGAGGCCTTTTTTGTTCGATTTGCCTTTCCAAAGTTTGCTTGCATTATAAACCGCCTTCTCCTTCTCTTTTTTTTTTCTTTTTTTCTCTCATTTCTTTTTCGGTAATTACATAAAATGTTTTAAAAATAATCTCGTCAGCAGAAATTGGATGTTGTGATTGTGAAAAAAAGGTACTTCGGAAGAATATTCTTCGGCCCGACTTCTTCTTAAGGCCCATTACTTGCGCTCTAGATTGGTTAAATTTATCTACAGTATACATGATTTAAATTGATTAATGTATATAACTTCTTTGTGCTATGTTAAATTAGCTACTAAACTATACCACACGTGTAAAATTTATGTTAGAAAATAGAGAATAATATAAGTTTACTAAATGTTGTTCATGCAAATATGTAATTTTAGTAATGTGTGACCTGACAAGTTATTTACTATGTACTTACTTAACACAATGTAAAATATTGTAAACTATACTAACCAAAGTTGTTTAGAAGTTTGACTTGAATTATAATTTTTGTCAGCAATTTCAAAAGCGTCACAAAAGCACAATTTCATAAGTAAATTAAAAATTGTTTTTCTTATTGTTATCTTCCCTAATTTTCCAATGAGTATTTGTAAAACTATCTTAAACATTTTCAACGTGTAACTGAATGATAAAACACTCATTCTATATTTCTTATGAAAATAGTTTCATTTTCCTATAAAATAAAGTTTGCTCATTATTGTTGGATTAATTTACTCAAAATCAAAAATCAACATATAAAATTCATATACAGTGAAACACATCATGTTTTCAACGAACGGACCAGATCGATCCACGTTTCATTACACGCGCCCGCGAGTGTGAAAACACGTACGAACCTTTAATATTTCAAAGCTCACACAAATCTGATTGGTTCCCTCGCGAGCCCTTTTGGGATTTCAAATTTGAAAACAAACGACTCAGACCCACCAGCTCTTTCTTTCTCTCTCACTCACTTTTTTCTCGGGAAAATCTCTGTAGGTTCCTCCATCGCTGTTCCTCAGTCTTGCCACCAATAAATTTCAAATACTGATATGATAACGCTTGATAACTGAGTCGGACCATAAATTGGCGGTGCAGGCTTGAGGCTTCTCCTCGGATTTTATCCACAGCTCAGCTTGTAGAGAGAGAGAGAGAGAGAGAGCTATGGGTTGTCTCTTTCATTGCTTCCGTGCCAGAGACGAGCAATCGCAATCTGCGAGTGATTCCGTCTCTCATCCTTCTCGCGTCGAGTCCAAAGTAACTCTCTCGTTTCATTTCGTTCAATTTAAGTCTCAAATTAGCTGTTACGATTCTCAGAACTCAGAAGTGGAATCGATTGTAAAAGTTTCTATTTCCGGTGTTGATTATTAGCTTAATGTTAGGAATTTGAGCTGAATTTTGTATTTGTTAACTTTCCTGACCACGATTATGTACAAAATCCTTCGGTGTTAACATCGTTTTTTTCTTCATGATTTCAGAGAGGCCATGACTCGAAGAATCGTTTGTCAGCATTGTTTCTTTCTGAAGGTATTGAATCTGTGCTTTGATGTATCTTTATTCGTGGTTTGAAAGAAGGTCTTACTTATTTCTTGGTTTGTTTTCAAGAGAAAGCAGATTCTTCGCCTTCTCATGGCAGAGAGGTCTCTGATTTGGATTCTATGCATATTGGCAAAGATCTGAAGGATAAGGTATGTTAATATCAAATGATACCTAAGCACTATGTGGTTCCAATCACTGTTAGCTTCCATTTTTGTCTATCACCATCAAGTTGCTGACACCTAGAATCTGTTAGGACTTTCGACTTTACTGGGATTCTGAAGTTAAGCTTTTGCCATTCATTTGTAGTTCGGAGTCTAGGATTATAATTTTCTTGCGACACTTCATGTTTTACATTTGCTTGGTATGTGATACTTGAGCTAAAGCGCTTGTGGAATGAGAAGAATGGATTATTCGTTTTATGTTATTTCTAGAGCTTTGTTATTGTTAGTTCATATTATACCTAAGAATTATTTGATTCCATCACGGTTAGCTTCTATGTTTGATCTACCACTGTGTTTGCTTGAGACACTTCAAGTCTATTTTGCTTGCTATGTGACAGTTGAGCTAAAGCTCTTGTTTTTTGTTTGTTATTGAGGTCATCTAGAGCTTTGTTTCTGTAATGCGTTGTACTTTTCAGTTTTCACAGCCTTTGGCTTTGTTTTTCTTCTTTTCTCCTTTTCAATCTTATATTCGATTATTTCAGGTGTTGGTGTTTAGAGATCAATTATTTGTAAAGAATATAGTCGCATTGATGCAGCTGTGTAGAACTATGCTTAATTGCAATAGTGTTTTCATCTCTACTTAAGAAAATTATCCGTAGTATCCTGTGAGTTACTCTCCTGCAGTTAAATAGTCTTGATAGACCTGGCGAGAATATTTTTTTGCTACTAATAGAATTTGATTGCAATTTCCTTCAAAATGAGAAGCTAACCGTCTCTGATTTACTTGCGTAGTTACAGGCTCAATTTCTTAAAGCTTGCGGCACAACACCTGCGACACCGATTGAAATTAGAAAAGCAGCTGAAAAACTGGAAACTCCTCAACGTGGAAAACAGTTTGGATCTCCCCAGTCTCATCCCTTGATTTCCAGTAACTCTGATGCTGTGTTTCACTTGGATGAGAAAACAGATGAACCCTGTGAAGAGGTTTCAGAGCAAACTCCTAGCAGGTGGAGTATTAGATGTTACTTTTCTTAGCAAATATCTCTTTCAGCGGAGCGTTGGGCATGACTGCATATCCTAACATGTTTCTTACATTATGCAAGAAGTTCTAGAGGTTTCATGGATCTGGAATTTACTCTCTTTTTTCTTCTTCTGTCAATATCAGTTGCTTAACCGATGCGGTAAGTTGTGCAAGGATCTCTGCTGGATTCAGTGATGCTGGTGAAGAAAGCCAAGAAAGCATTGGTACTTCGTTCAGGGATGGGGTGGATAGAACCGGCAAGGTGTCACTCAAAGCTGGAAAGATTACGAGAAAGACAAAGTCAGTGCGGTTTGAATTGGATATTGATCAACCTTACCCTTCTAGTTCTTCCAAGAAAAGCGCTTCAAGGATACCTAAGAAGCCTAGCAAAATAAATATCTCAGCAACCTCGCATAATCCGACGACACTGAAGCTATGTGATGAAATTCAAACTCCTGTAACCATTTTTCCTGCAAATCTGGACCCAGAAGTAAGGGGAAGACCAAGAATCAGGTCGCAGTTTGTGCATTCAGCTTCCACTTTAACTGAAGATTCCTCTATATGTAACATTCCTGAAGATTCAGAGGAGAGCGTAGAACAAGCTGAAGTGCAGGCTTGCAAAGCGAATACAGAAACTGAATCTCCCACATCAGAAACTTTGGAAGAGAGTTCAGATGAGAAATACGAGATAGGTGAAACTAGTATTTCTCCTAGAGTGAAGCAGAGCAAAGAGATCAGTAACACAAAGATGGAAGCTTTATCCACCATAACTCATGGGGACAGGCCTATCATAGGAATGGTTGCTGCTCACTGGAATGAGGAAGAGCAATCTCAAATCTCACCCAAATGGTGGGATGGTAATGGAATACCAAACTCAACAAACAAGTACAAAGAGGTACTCTCTTGTTTCATTCAGAAACTCTTTAGCTTCTTCACATCTCCTCCCATTTATTGTACACAAAGAAGTTACTTTTTCTTGATGCAGGACCAGAAAGTGAATTGGCACGCAACAAGTTTCGAGGAGAGATTAGAGAAAGCCCTCTCAGAAGAAAGTAGTCAAGGTTTTGTCCCTCCAAGGTATATATATATATATTTCCCTCCTTTCCCTTGGATATATGCAATTTGATGATAGTAACCGATGCATAAACATGTTGTTATGCAGGAAACTTAGAGTAATGGAAGAAGCTGAAAGGGACACAGCTATATCGCAGATGCATCATTCAGCGCAATCCAAATCAATCGTTTCCTTTTGAACAACATCTGTAAGTAATATTGGCTTTCGTACAGAGCAATAATACTTGCTCATGATTTATTTTCTTGCAACTATAATATCACATGATGATAGATGCAGTATCATTTACTGCAAGTCTTGAATGATTATCAAGTGATAGATAATCATAAACGTTTTAAGATATTGATCGTTTAAGTCTATAGGCAAATGGATACACGAGACCAGATGTGAAATCAGACATATACTATCACATTTATTCTAGTAATTTTATTGGATACTAAATATTTTCGTGGAAACTCCATAGCACCTCTGACATTTAAAGTCCACCTTTAATATTTCAGATCCTGAAATGGAGCAAAGGAGATGTGCCATCGAGTCCTTTAGACAAGTAATGTTTTGCAAATTCTGTGGTGGTGGTGTCTCTGTACTTGGGAGGGTTTTGTTTAGAAAGAAGCTCTTTGATAGGTCCATATACTTGCTCATTTGTTATGGTGTGCATGAAGAAAGACGCGATCGAAATCCGCGGTTCTTCACTTCTGTTTGCCAAAACCCTATGCTCCACACTTACAAACTCATCGTTTGTTATAAGCTGCGAAAAAGAAACCATTACACGGATTATTGAGATTTGTCAAAATATATATGGATTCGTGTATTAAGAAAAAAACAAAATTCACGAATGGATAATATCTTTGTTGCCTGTAAGAAATCTCCGAGGTTAACGATAAGAGCTTCGGGATTAGGAGGAAGATCGATCCAGTATCCATCATGGAGGACTTGAAGTCCTCCGATGTGGTCTTGAAGAAGAATAGTGATGAAAGATATATCTGTGTGTGAACTGATGCCAAAGGTTCGGTCAGGCTCTGGACAAGGTGGGTAGTAATGAGAGAGCAAGGACAAACTCTTTGCGCAGTCCAGTTCTTTGAGGTGGTTTGGTTTTAAACCAAGAGCTTCTGATAAA